ACATCGCTTGCCGCGTTCAACTTGCCAGTGACCCTGCTTACGTGCGCACCTTTGTGTTGTTAGCAATGCGTGTGTTTGTGCTCCTCTGCATGTTGACTTTGTGTGTGTGTGTGTGTGTCTTTGTCTGTGTGTGTGTGTCTATGATCAGGTCGTGCCGTAGCTGATGTGACATCGAGTCCTCGACAACATCATCAGCAACATCGTCGTGTAAACATGAAGCAACGCAACCCCACGCTCTGATAAAAAAAATCCTGACCCTGCCCCATCCCTGACCCACCACTCCTCCCCCACGCCGCCCCTATCCCCTACCCCGAACAATTCATGTCGCTCAGCTCCCCCTTCCAAAGGCCACCCTCACCTCCCTCCACCCCTCATCCCCTGCCTCCATCCTCCACCTTCGCCCTCCTTTGATCATCCATTGTGACAAGAGCTGCAATGATGCATCGTATCATCGATGAATATTGATCGGTAGGTTCACGATACAGCCGTGCGTGATAATCGACTTTTCTTCAATTCATAAACGCTGTAGGTAATTGGTTCACGTGAATAGCGCGACCGTCCACCGCAGAGTTAAAACATTGATCGATTCCCGAGTAGAATTGTGCCCATTGATGGAATCGTCCGGTCCAGAATCGGCCAACCACGACCAGAGATCCTCAGCACTATCACCGCCACCACCACCACCATCACCACCACCACCACCACCACCATCACCGCACCGACCAGCTCCACCACCAGCAACACCGCTACCTCCTCTATAACGATCATCATTGCCATCAGCACCACCACCATCAGTGCACCTTGCACTGAGAAAACAGAGCACCCAGCACAGAGCACCCTGCACAAGAACGCCGTCCACGGGAACGCCGTCCACGGGAACGCCCTGCAAAGAGCACCCTGCACACAGGGCACCTTGCACAACGGCACCCTGCGTACGAGCTTGGCGCACAGAGCTCCCTGTCGTGGCTGTGGAGTGTGACTATGGTGTTTGCGTTCTCGTCTGCGTCCAAACGCCATCCTCACACCACGCAGCCCCGGCACGGATTCCCCTCCACGTTGTTCATCCGTCGTCATCGATGGTGTCGTTGTTCATCCGTCGTCATCGATGGTGTCGTTGTTCATCCGTCGTCATCGATGGTGTCGTTGTTCATCCGTCGTCATCGATGGTGTCGTTGTTCATCCGTCGTCATCGATGGTGTCGTTGTTCATCCGTCGTCATCGATGGTGTCGTTGTTCATCCGTCGGGAGTTTGAGCAGCGATCGATATTCGCCGCTGAGCCGGTTTGGAACGAGTTCACGGTTCGATTCGTGCTACAGGCGTCGTGTTGATTTCTGCAGGAGCCAGAGTTGATGAATTGTATCGTTTGTTAATTATTGATGGGAATATTTCACGTGCAAACTCGGAGCGTTGATACGGAACATTTCGCTTGCACGGGAGTCCAGGGTGGCGAGTGGCACCTGCATGGGCCGACACGTAAAGACACGTGGACAAGCATTTTACATTCAGATACCTCTCTGTGTGCTGTGAAGAAGGCTCATTGCCTGGAACGTCGCCCGTCATATACGTGTTCCTTTTCAAGCCATTATAAAGCAGCTCTGTCAATGCCTCCTTCACGTATTCGTCTCTCCGTGTAAAACGAAAATAAATAAATAAATACAATTCTTGCAAAGCCCATCAGCCGCAGACGCGCGGTCTTCTGGGAGTGAGTAACTTCAGCAGCACCGTTTTAACACGAGCGCATCTCCGAGGCGGCTTCGACACGCAGCGTCTCATCAGCTGTACGTCGTGGTCGAGTCGTGACATTGCAGAGTTGACTCCAAATACAATCGGTTCTGTCCATCGCGTGCATCCCACGTGGCGCGTTGGGCAGAGCTGGACACGCGATCCGGAGGTCGCGAGTTCAAATTCCGCTCGACCATTCACCCAGCCCTTGAGTGGGGTACAGAGTGGTGCGGAGGCGATAGCAGTGTGGAGTGTAGAGTGGTGCGGAGTGTAGAGTGGTGTGGAGTGTGGAGTGGTGTGGAGTGTGGAGTGGAGTGTAGAGTGGTGTGGAGTGTAGAGTGGAGTGTAGAGTAGTGTGGAGTGTAGAGTGGAGTGTAGAGTGGTGTAGAGTGTAGAGTAGTGTGGAGTGTAGAGTAGAGTGTAGAGTAGTGTGGAGTGTAGAGTGGAGTGTAGAGTAGTGTGGAGTGTAGAGTGGAGTGTAGAGTGGTGTAGAGTAGAGTGTAGAGTGGAGTGTAGAGTGGAGTGTAGAGTGGTGTAGAGTAGAGTGTAGAGTGGAGTGTAGAGTAGAGTGTAGAGTGGAGTGTAGAGTAGTGTGGAGTGTAGAGTGGTGTGTAGAGTGGAGTGTAGAGTGGTGTGGAGGCGAGAGGACCATCCTCGTGTGACTCGAGTCGCGTCTACGAGGATGCAATCTCGAGTAGTGGGGGATAGAGGAGGATCCCGTGCAGGGTCGATCAGTATTTGGGGGACTAGAGCAGAGAGATAAGTGGCGTTATTGGAAGCTGATAAGAGGAGAGGGTTCAGTACAGCAGAGTGGAGCAGGATAGAGGAGTGTGTGACTGTACGTATGTACGTTGAACTTCTTTCGCACCGTACGAAGCCAACCGCGATCATCAGAGTTGCGGGCGAAGGACAACAAACTACACAACAACAACAACGAGCAGTTCTATGAAGAGGTGAGGTCGTCAATCTAGACTGGAGGATGAGGAGGCATCTGTGGAGTTGGCTGCGAGAGGAGCGGCGTGCGGGCCGCGTGTCCCCCCACCTGGGGCGGACTTTGCCCGCTGCGTAGACGGCGCTCCGCCCCGGGGCCTCTCCGTGTTCGGCACGGAGGGGCTCTGAGCGATCGCACGGAGATTCCACATCTTTGTTATCTGTGCAATAGGCGATCACCCCCCACCCCCCATCGTCTCCCCACCCTCACCCCCCGGACCCCCCGCCCCCAGCCCAGCCCTGTCAGCAGAGGGGCCGGCGATCCGAGCGAGGTGGCCGTCGCGAACGGGGCCGTCGCGAATGGGGCTGTAGGTGGAGCGCCAGACGACCCCAGATCGTGCCGGGAAGCGAAGAGGCCACGAGGTGGTGGCAGGGCTGCCACGTTAGAGGTTGGAGACCCATTTATGGGGGGCTGGGGGTTGAGGGGGTGGAGGTTGATGGGGGTGGGGGGGTGTCCCCTAGGAAGCGAGTCGGGTTGTCTCCGGGTTCGCGATTCCCTCCTGTTACGGGCACAGCGCTTCGCACGGGATTGGCCAAACACCTCCAGACAGCAGGAATACTCTTGGCGATGAGTCTCGAGACTCGGTCGAAGCCTTCCCGAGTTAATAAGAGGACCTCCTTCTTGTTAATTGCGATGGATTTGTCTCAACACAAACATTCGCTTCATTTTTTTGTTATCAACTCGACAGTCGCTGCAGCCCGAATTCGCAGCCCCTTTGTCAATCCACTGCTGGATGAAGGTATCCAAAACGTCACTTCGAGCATTGGTGGACGTTAAGCCATACTTCACCGCGCTGGTCATTGAGTGGTTGGTGAAGGCGGGGCCCCAGGACCCGGTTTGGGTATCACTCGCCACTCATGGGAGCCGTGGTCGGGAATCGAACTCGAGTTACCGAGTTTATGGAGCAAGTGGCCTTCAACAGCACCGACCTATTGCAAGGTAGCAATCTCACTGCGAGGTCGGCTTCAGAGCAAAGAGTAACTTTTACTGGTAGGAACCTCCTGGTTACACCAGCCTACAGGGGATTATTGTGTCCGTCCGTCCGTCGTGCATCCAAAAATGGAAGGGGTGGGGCTGGGTGGAGAGGGGAGGGTGGAGAAGGGCTGGGTGGGGAGGAGCTGGGTGGGGAGGGGCTGGGTGGAGAGGGGAGGGTGGGGAGGGGATGGGTGGGGAGGGGAGGGTGGGGAGGGTGGGGAGAGGCTGGGTGGGGAGGGTGGGGAGGAGCTGGGTGGGGAGGGGCTGGGTGGGGGCTGGGTGGGGAGGGGCTGGTCACCCAGTGGTGCCCTTATAAAACTCAACGTTTAACCTACTCACGCCGAATTGTGCTCGCCCTCACAGTCGGGCATATTTGCGGAATACACCACGCCGCCGTTGACCCTGACCATTGACCGAGCAACCCAACGTTCCTACCAGCTCCCTTCGCAGGAATGTGTTCTACTTGAATTTAACGTGTTACGTATTAATTTATTGTCATGTACAAATAACACGCTTGTATTTCATCAGTTCACGTGATGGCAAAGACAAATGTCCTCGGGTGTAGCCTTCATCCCGCCAACACAGATTACCACAATCTTTGCCAGGCACAGCACATACACGAAACACAATGGAATGACGTCACTGGGATAAACAATGAAATCATATAAAAAATAAATGCACACGAGACATTTTGCATGCGAGTCTTTTCTGTGACCGTTAAACACAAGCCCTCGTGTCGATGCCACCGTCTGTCATTGTCAATTCGGCGTCACGACACCGACACGGGCTGCGAGCAGCTGGACGTGCACGAGATGGTCGCTCTCCACGCCGCGCCTGCGGTCATTCATTCGATGTTAATCGGAGACAACGCAAGGACCCTCATTCATTCGATCGGTCGTTACAGGGGGGCGGGGGGGGGGGTAGCGAGGGATCTGGGATTCTAGATTTGAAGCTTTCGTGACTGCAAGGATTAATACTCTTAGTTTTTTCGGTAAAGTCACGTAGGTAAAAAATAAAATTAAAATTAATAAAAGTAATAATAGAAATAAAATAAAATAATAAATCACGACGTTTCGGAGGCAACACAAGTCTCCGTCATCAGGTGGGACCGTCACAGCTAGATTTACTGTATCAAGTGAGGCAAAGATTCCAAGATACAAGTTCTTAAATACAAGTTAAGGGGGGGGGGAGGAGGGGGGAGGAGCTAAAAGAGAACAACAGGTGCACATGCTAAAGGTGCACATGCTAAAGGTGCACATGCTAAAGGTGCACATGCTAGAAGAGAACGACACTGCGCATGTTGTTTAACCCAGTGTTGGGATCTGGGAACCAGCGGAGCGGGAGAAGCCGCGGGTCACGGCTCGCTCATCCGTCGGAGGGTGGTGACCTTGAGGGGCAGGGGCCAGAACCTGGCCCCGCGTCCCTTGGCGCGGGTCCCGGCCGCGGCGAGCCTGGCCGCCGGCGGCGTGCGGAGGGGGGGCGCCCTGGAGGCGCGGCGCAGGGGCCCCAGGCCCAGCAGGGCGCAGTGGGGGCTGCACTCGTGCAGCGCGACGAACTGGGCGAGCGCCGACGAAGGGAAGTTCCCACGGACGCCCTGGAACCTAAAAAACGGCGTGGCGGGCACATGTGGCACGGGTTATACAGCTGGCACGGGTGGCACAGGTGGCACAGGTGGCACAGGTGGCACGGGTTATACAGCTGGCACGGGTGGCACGGGTGGCACGGGTTATAAGGTGGCACGGGTGGCACGGATTATTTGTGTGGTAAAGGTGGAACAGGCAGTAGAGGTGGCACGGGTGATATGCGTGTGCACGTATGTGTTGGAGCGTGAGGGTGGAGCGGTGGCGTAGCGGTTCGCGCACTGGGCTACGAAGCCGGCGACCTGAGTTCAATATCCGAACCGGTCCTGGGTTTCCCCGAGGTCGATTCGTCCTTATAAAATAGCACCTGGCACCGTGAGAAAACGTTAACACTGGGGATACAAAAACGGCTGGGCGTGGTTACTGGCCACATCACCCTTGAGTGCCCCATACCCCGTGTGGGCTACACTTTGTGTGTTTTTTCTCAATAGTCTTTGCGTGAATGCGTGTGCGCGTGTGAGCGCGTGCAGAAGAAAGCGGTCTCACTCCTTATCTCTGGTGGCGATCCCGACGTCTGTGAGATGCAGACCCACTCCTAAAAAGTCCAGCGGACACAGAGGCGGGCAGAGCGACGAGGTGAGAACCGGCGAGGCGACGTCACGGAGGGGGTTTTGACAGCGCGAGAGGGGAACACCAAACAATTAGCACGGTTGGCTACGTACGGTGCGAACGAAGTTCAACATACTGCCCATAGGCTAACACTACCTATCCACTCAACACTGCCCATAGACTCAGCACTGCCCATAGACTCAGCACTGCCCATAAACTCAACACTGCACCTTCGACGATTAGCACGGTGGGTTACGTACGGTGCGAACGAAGTTGAACATACGTACTGCCCATAGACTAACACTACCCACAGACGCAACAGAGCATCAACAACGAGGCGCTCGGTGGGCGAACCAGCGCCCCCTGCTGCCCGTGGCCGCGGCTCGACTCCAGCGGCCACAACGGGCAGGACAAGCGAACAGCGTGCCACGGGTACCCACCGTGCCACGGGTACCCACCGTGCCACGGGTACCCACCGGGCCACGGGTACCCAGCGTGCCACGGGTACCCACCGGGCAAGGCTCAGCCACGTACTAAGTGGGCATGGATCAGCTAGGTACTATGTAGGCACGCAGATCCCCCCCCCCTCTCTCTCTTCGCCTTGTCCAAACGTGCCCAGCTGGGCCCCCTTCTCTGGCATCCACTCCACAGCCGTCGCGCCACCGCCACGCTGCCACCTGCGACTCGCGGCAGGTGGCAGCGTGGTCGTCCCACTCGACGAGGTTGCCCGCTACCCCAGACCAACTCGCTCCATCTCCCTACTACACGCTGCTGCTGCTGTTCCTCTTCTCCTTATTTATGATTATTGTTATTCATCATTATATTGCTCGCCCCTGCGTTGCTTTTTGGTTCGCGTTATTTGTCGACAACTAGTGCGCTGTTTTTGAGTTGCACGCCTTTTGGCGTCATCTGGACCAACACCAATGGAGACTATGCTCTAAGAAAAGCTGTCTCGGGTGTGGACCAATCAACTTCAAGGACAGTGCATATCATTATCATTATCAGAGTTGTTTCTTTTTGTTTGCATTTTGACTGCTTGTGTTGTGGTTATTGCAAACATGATGCCTTGTATAAAGGTGTCAGTTTGTGTACCAGTTGAAAGGGTAAACACCTATTACTACTACTTGTCGACAACTGTTTTGGCAGCGGCGGTGCATTAAGCACAAGCAACACAACAGCGTGACGCTGTCGTCAATAACCAACAACCACCGTGGGGCATTCAAAGGGAAACAATCTGGAACAGTGGCGACTTATCGGGTCATCCCTTTCTCTCCAGTCGCGACGAAGAAAGGGGCCATCGCCCGAGACTTCGCCCCATTATACAGGGTGTTTCACAAAGATGGACCCAATTTCAAAGCGGTATATTTCACGAAGGCAACATGTTACAATTACACAAAAAGTTACGAACGGTTTAATGAGTTATCAAGTTTTACTGACCATTTTATAAATGCTCTATGTGCCCTCCACCTGCTGTACGGACAACATCGAGACGATAGTTGAATTCGTCCCAAACGCCTCTCAAAGTGGCTTCTTCCACTGAAGTCACCGCTGCCGTGATTCTGTTTTTGAGTTCATCCAGATTAGTCGCTAATGGTGGCACAAAAACACGGTCTTTTGTGCCACCATGCTCTTTGACATTGGCGGATCAATGCCTAAACGCCATTGAAACGCACGCTGCACCGCAATAACGGATTCAGTCTTGCTGAACTGCAGAACGCAAAACGCCCCTTGTGTGTTGCGGGGTCGCCGTCTTGCGAATTATTGAGGCTAGGGGCTGTTTGTGCGCTGGGAGAGGCATCTCGCGGTCATCATTTGAAACTCTATGCCCCGCCCTCTCTATGCCCCGCCCTTTCAAGTGGTAAGAGTTTCATTCATGGGCGGTTCGAGCTTGCAGAGATATAGCGATTTCAAACCGGGTCCATCTTTTTCCAACACCCTGTAGCACAATTTCCCTTCTCAAGGCCACGCGGTGCTATCGACGATCGTGCCGAGCCGCTGCCGCTGCTATCGGCGCCGCCGGCGTCACGTGCATCGTTCGCTCTTCCTCGCTCCGCAATCACCCTGCAGGTCGGTGACGAGGAGGCGGCCACCGGAGCGCACGAACACCCAGTGCTGGAAGGCGACGCACTTCATGCCGGCCTCGCTCGGGGTCCCGCCCGCAGCGCCGGCGCTGAGCTCCCTCCCGTCGCGCGGGGAGTACTTCGCGAAGCGGCCCGGCAGCTGCACCTCCACAGTGGCGTGCGCGGCGGGGCGGCCGGGACGCGTCAGCAGGTACAGCGGGATGACCCTGCGGCAAGGGGGGGGCAGGGGGAGAGAGACAGGGGGGTGCTGGAGTAAGGGGAGAGGGAGACGGGGGGTGGTGGTGGTGCTGGGGTACGGGGAGATTGAGGATGAACCTCGTGAAAGGAGAGAGACAGGAGGCGATAAGTGGAGAAGAAGATTTATTGTAGAGCAGTGGTGGTCGGTTGGTTTCCTCGTGGATGAGGGATGGATGAGGAGGCAGATGAGGAGGCAGATGAGAGGTGGCGACGCTCACTCGGGAGTGGAGCCGAACCCGGGCAGCGCCGAAGCCTCTGAGGCGAAGCGTCGGCACAGCTGACGCGCGGCTCCCTGCACCCAGCACTCCTGCCCGCACACACACACACACAAGACAAAGGCCCCCCGTGTAGCCTTTAGCAGGCTGTTGGGGCAAGTGTTGTTAGCCAGCACCTGTTCAGGCCGGGACGACACAGGGGGGTGATGTGGCCAACACCAGGCCCGGCCACCTTTGTCTCCCCATTTCTGATGTTTACACACCGCATCAAGGGTACCTATTTAAGGTTGAGTCGACCCAGGGGAGGCCCACACACAGCTCACATACACATGTAATACACACACGTAGAGACACCGCATATCCTACAAGCACAGATAATGATGCGTATGGGTGAAGCGGCGATTCCTGGCCACGGCTAATATCAGAGGTGAGTGATCAACGGGAACTTAGCCCAGGGATTGGAGCTCGTCCTGGGCCACCCAGCTTCAACAACCTGCACTAAAGGGAGGCCTTCAACCAGCAGTGGATTGAACATGGCTGCTGCTGCTTGCTGATGATAATTACAATGAAGATGCGGGCTGAATTGCTCACTAAATATTTTCGGGGTTGCCAGTCGACTGAATTTGGGTGCAAGGGACATTTTTGGCGCCTCTGCATCACACAGAACAGGCCGATATTAATCCGACGACGATGCTGCTGCTGCGACCGCCCGTGCCCTTCTCCCGCACCTCCGATTCAGCACGGCTGGTTACGCACGCTGCGAAAGAAGTTCAACAAACACACGACGACGATGCTGCTGCTGATGCTGCTGCTGCTGCTGATGATACGGCGCAAGCCTGAACCCTGCCGCTCTCACCTGCACCGCCAACCTGCGGTTGCTCTCCACCAGCTGCGGGCCAGGCTGGCCGCCCTCCCCCAGGGCGCTGTGCACCTTGACGACGCACGCGGCGCCCACCCCGAACGGCGGGCACATCCCCTCGACGACGACGGCGCGGTGGGCCCTGCGTCTCATCCCCTCGCCCATCGCCGCCGCGTCGCACTCGACCCGGCCGGGCACCGCCGGCCCCCAGCGCGCGACGGGCACGGCCGGAGGGCGCCGCGCGGGGAGGGCCCCGGTGGTGGTGGTGGTGCCGCCACGGGAGATCGGGAGTGGGCTCGGATTGCGGTTCGCATCTGGGCTCGGCTCCTGGTTCAGGTACTGCGGCCCGAACACGAGCTCCCTGAGCTCCGCGATTTCCCACGAGCCTGGAGTTGAGTTTGAGAAGCCGATTCGTCATCGTCGTCATCATCATCATCGTGGTCATCGTACGATCATCGTCGTCGTCGTCGTTATTATCATTCTCACCGTTCCCGTTACTGAAATCAATCCATCATCACCCATCATTCGCAAAATAGATTGCTCCGCTATGAAGAAGAGCCATTAAGTTATCGCTATGTTTTACTTCTACCAGCTTCAATTATCACATCCTAAATTATCACCACCACCACCACAGCCACAACATCCATCATCATCATGATCCATCCGCACCCTGCGTGCATCGCTCCACTCTCACCGGTGACCGCTGGGATTAGCGCCGCGGGGTGGAGGTTGTTAGAGTTTGGCTCCAGCCCAGGGTTTCCTCGCTCCAGCTCAAGGTCCAGTCCTCCTCGACCCAGCTCCATCTCGGGTCTTTGGTCCAGCTCCATTCCAGGTTCCTTCTCCAACCTTCTCCCATATTTTTTCTCCAACTCTGCTTGAGGTATTTGCTCCACCTCCATCTCATGTTTTTGCTTCAGATCCAATACCGGTTTTTGCAGCAACTCCATCCCAGGTATTTGCCCAACTTTCATCCGAGATTTTGTCTCTAACTCCACCTCAGATTTTTTCTCAAGGTCCATCCTCGTTCTTTGCTCCACCTCCAGCTCAGGTTTTTGCTCCACCTCTAATCCAGGCTTTCCCTCCAGCTCCATCCCAGGTCCTCCTCGCTCCCGCTCCAGGCCAAGCCCTGATCCTGACTGTAGCTCCACGTTGCTCTCCTGCCCCGGCACCTCCTCGATATGTGGGACCTTTGATTTGACGGCCTCCAGGGAGTCTCGGCGATTGCCGACGGAATCATCGGAGACCATCGCACACCCATTGCAGACCTCTCCAGAATCGTCATGCACCTTTGCGTGATCGTTCACAACCATCAGGGAATCGCTACAATCAACGGCGGACTCATCGCAGACCATCGCCGACCCATCGCAGCTTGGTGGTTGCAACACTCTGCACGAGGCTGATGATGATGATGACGACATGGAAGAGGAAGTGGGATACCTCTTCGCTGAGAGAGGCTGCCTCTTTAGGTTTCGCTTCACTCCTTCCCGGGAAGATCCGTCTTGGTCTCCTCTTCCTCCTCCTCCTTCTCCCCGTCGTGATGAGGCCACCTCGTCCTGCCTCGTGTCAGCTCGCCGCGCTTGACCGTCGTCATGCCGTGTGACGAGTGACGCCACGTGCACCTCAACCGCCTCGTCATCGTTCTGCTGCGTGTCGCCACTGCCTGTGTGTTCGGGGTGTGCGGCTGCGTGGTGTGCTGGTGTGCGTATGGGGCGTGGGGGTGTGTGTTTGATCTGCGGCGGTGTGTGTTGTGGGTGACAGTGTTCAGGGTGTGCGGGAGTGTGTTTAGTGTGCAGGGGTGCGTGTTCAGGTTGTGGGGGTGTGTGTGGGGGTGTGTGTGGGGGCGTGTGTTCCATGTGTGGTGGTGTGTGTGGGGGTGTGTGTGGGGGTGTGTGTTCAGGGTATGGGGGTGTGTGTTCAGGGTGTGTGTGTGGGAGTGTGTGTTCAGGGTGTGGAGGTATGTGTGGGGGTGTGTGTTCAAGGTGTGGGGGTGTGTGTGGGGATGTGTGTTCAGGGTGTGGGGGTGTGTGTGGGAGTGTGTGTTCAGGGTCTGGGGGTGTGTGTGGTGGTGTGTGTTCAGGGTGTGGGGGTGTGTGTGGGGGTGTGTGTTCAGGGTGTGCAGGTGTGTTTGGTGGTGTGTGTTCAGGGTGTTGGGGGTGTTCAGGGCGCTGTGGTCCTGGTCGCACCCTCGACCCAGCCGCCTGCTCCGCTCCCATTCCCGCTCCTGGTTTCGATCTACCGGCATCTATCGCTCGGCCCCCCTCTTCTCGAGGGCCCCCCATCTCGCGCATCGAGCCCCCCAATACCCGCGTGCGCATCCTTTGCACGGAGTTGGCGAAGTCCGTGACAATCGCCACCTCCAGCCTCTGTGACGTCAAAGGGGGGGGGGGGGGGCACGTGGCCCACAACGTCATTAACATCATCATTCCTTGTGAATGTAATCGACAGCATTTGAGCGATACATTGGCACGTGCAAACAATACTTTTTGTAAGATTACAAACATTTCGACGGTGGTCATTGTGTGTGCTATGAAGAAGGGCTGGTGCCCAACACGTGTTAATGACACGTGACGTGTTGGGGATTGCTTTTCTTCCAAAAATAAATATGGATCAATTACTTCACCGCCACCGCCACCACCACCGCCACCACCACCGTAGCAGCAGTGGGTGGCCGCTGCCTGGCAGCCGTGAGCTGGACAAGAGCCAGGGGCGACGCTTCCGTGATGCCTCGTGGAAGCTGCTGGACCCAACAACAAGCAGGAGGAGGAGGCCAGAAATCTCATTCCTTGGCTACCACTTCATTTTTATTCCTGACCATCTATGCTCGTGACACACCGCGGTGGCGAGGAGATGTTATCTCTCTCGCGTGGGTTCGATCCCGGACCCTGGCGATGTCTGTTGTTGTATATTTGGAGTTCGCGTGTTCTCTCTCTCTCGCCGTGGTGGTCCTGTGGATTTTCCTCCGGATTCCTCGGGTTTTGCCCTCCACAGTTAGACACGCCTGCTTAGATTATTTGGCTGCAACTATACATTCCCATCTATCTATCTATATAAATCTACTTATATAAGCTATCACGTGTGACCAGTTTTCCTCTAAAAAACAGCCAAGGACTCGGTGGGCTTGAGCTGGTAAAATGAAATAGTTTAGTGACGTGTCGGCCCAAGCCCCACGAACTCTTCTTACGGCGCCTTGAGACTTTTTGTGAAAGTTGGATTTTACGTGTCAATGATTACAGTGTAACAATTTTTTTTCCTGGGAAGTGTTATGGGGCCGTCCATTTCGGACGATTTTTTACCCCCCCTCTTCGTCACACGGCGTCACATATTACGTTACAAAGCTCTGCCCCCCCCCCCCCAAAATAAAACATGCTTCAAATCGCTTTAAACTATTGTCATTGTAGTGCGTATTTAATGTGGCGCTGCACTCTGATGTTATAGGAGAACACATTTATTAAAAAGTATATTTACTTAAGTAGAACGTGTTGTCTACATTTATTTAAAGTTGCGCATTTTGATGTGATGTCACATTTCTCAAACCCCCCTCCCCCCCCCCCATCGTCACACATCGTCACAAATGTCTGACCTCCCCCCCTAGGTGCGTGACGTCATTTATGGACGGCCCCTATTTCCAAATTGCTTATGCCTCAAAAGGACAGAAAATGGCTATGACTTGAAGGCTGCAGACTCCTTATCTACAGCTCTGACAAATTGTTTCATAAGGCCCAATTTGATGTGCAGTGGTGGCATCAGCACCTTCCGGGGGTCCACCAGTGGCTCCCACTTGACGTGGTTCCTCCCCACAGAGAACTCGGTCCGCTGTGGCCAGTCCCGCCTGTGGTAGTGCGCCTTGGTGTCTAAATCTTTTGTTGTCATGTTTGTATGACTTTAGTATAAATACATGTTATTTTTGATTAATATGTTGTTTTTTCCTGACTTTGTGAACGAAAAGACACTAATTCGCCCGTTTTCTCATTGAAAATAGGTAAGTTTCAAAATACCACTGTCCTGGTCACAAAAGCAAAGTTTGTGGGTAATAATAGCAAATTTTCTATACTTTTGAGGCATAAGCAATAACGGAACAACACTTACTACCCAGGAACAAAAATCGTGTTACATTGTGTTGTTATTATTGTAAACAGTTCGCATGATGCCATGATCCTGCGTGTGTCCTCTAACCCGCCTGGGTCTCCCGAGGTAATCCCGAGCGTGCATCTCCCCGTGATTCTCTGCGCACTCTGTCGGTTTTGTTCCGTAACTTCTCCGTCATGGCCCCACGTTACCAATGATCAACGCGTGGTCGCAAGAAAGCAAGCGCCACGCACTGACGACACCACTGGCTTCTTCTAGGCCACATCGCTGACCCTCACCATCAAGTTCAGTGGGTTCAGATAAGCGCTGTTCCCACCCCGCTTTTGTCCATCCTCTTTATCTCGTCGCTTTGACCCCGGTTCGCATTCAATTGCCGTCCCAGGCAGCACACACACAGTCCGCACCGTGTGTTCCCAGCGGTGTCACGCCAACCCGATGTCGCCATGTGATTCGCATATCCCCGTCTGTGTACACATTAGTACAGTCGTCACACGATATCTGTTGAACGTTTCCTTAACTTCAGTTTGTAGTTGCGCCACGGTCAGTCTAAACATAATCTGCCCGAGCTGACTTACGTTGCAGGGAATGTATGATTTATGTTCGCGGAATATTCTCCATTTCTCATGTGGTGCCACAGCTGCTATCGCTATGATTTTAACACGTTTAATTGCTGTAACTTCATTTAAATAAATAAAAATACTTTTGTAATGTTGATAAACCAGGTCACATAAACTCATCCTGGGTCTCTTGAGTTCTGATCTGGCCAGACGAAATCAACTCGAGACTTATGCCCGGTTGGTTAGCCGACTTCTTAAACATTACCTTTGTATTTTTTTTATATATTATTTATCCTGAACCTAACCCTGGCAGCCTTCTCTCGAACTGAGTTGTCCCAACTTATCCTGCAGTTCATTCCCATCGATCGTGATGGCGACCGTGTCACACATCTAATCTGAGCCAAGGGTATCATCATCATCATCGTCATTGCACAAACCGTAAACTAAACAAACCCACGAGGCTCCACGCGTGCGGGTGCATGATGACCGTGAACATGGACATGCACAGCCCTCCACTGCTGCAGCACTGCGTGTTGTTGATGATGATGATGAGTCTTTATTTGTGGAGGACGATCGTTCCGTCAATGTTGTTATTATAGCGACCCTTTGCCCCGAGGAGAGACAACACGGCCCGTCCACCTTCGTTAACATATGTCTTCCACGTAAAAAAGAGCGTCCTCTTAAATAACCCATCTTGCAGCGTCGCGGCCTTCTAGAAGAAATAGGTCAGGTGATGTTGTTCTTGTTGGTGGTGATGAAGTTATTGATGATGCAACAGCCGTTGTGCTGCTGCTACTGATGGTGCTATTTCTGTGGAAATTGATCACGACGCATCTATTGATGGTGTGGGTGATGATGACGCAGCTGATTATGGTGAGGCATATGATGTTTTTTTGCTGCTTTTGTTATGATGTTGATGCGGCTGCTGCTGCTGATGATGCCGATCCTGATGGAACCACCGTTGTTGAGGAAACTGTTGTTGATGGCACTGCTCATGTTGCTCCTGATGATGTTGCTGATTATCCATAAGAGGTTTTTTGGGTTAATCGTGTAAATAATAAAATGTGTCGTTAAACCCGCCACCACCCGACACAACCAATTAGTAAGGGTTGTCACGTAAACAGAACGTGGCCAATTCGTTACTAGTACAGCACACCGGTGTGTTGGAGAGCCAAGCCACAACATTTACAATCTGAGTACGACGTTTCACCAGTTATTACAACAAGCTTAATCAAATAGCCGTATTTTAATAAACACAATAGACATGAAGGACAAGTTTAAAGGGCCTGCATAATGCACATGCATAGTGTACGTTGCCTCAGTAATCCCCCCCCGCCCACTATATAAGGAACGAAACAGGTGGACTTCTCCACAAATCTGGCTGTCGCCTGATGAAGCTAGTTGTAATTACTGGCGAAACGTCGTACTCAGATTGTAAATGTTGTGGCTTGGCTCTCCAACACACCGGTGTGCTGTACAAGTGACGAATTGGCACGTTCTGTTTACGCGACAACCCTCACTAGTTGGCTGTGTCGAGTGGTGGCGGGTTTTAACGACACTTTTATTTATGTGATCAAACCCCCAAAAAACTCTATTATGGATAATATTTATTTGGTGTTCTTTTAGTCTCGTGCTGATAATTCGTCCTGTTTGCCCAACATATAATTTTCCACAAGTGCAATTAATCCTGTACACACCTCGATAGCTTTGGTAATACATATTTTGTACCAGATATTAATTTCTGTATTTTATGTACCGTGCCAAATCTGACTCGGATGTTTTGTTTTCCAAGCATCTGTATAGTTTATCAGTTACTCCCGCAATGCACGGTATTTTAATAGTTTTAATTACTTGGGCAGTTTCAATGCTCATGTTATTTGATTTTCTTTTGGCATGCCATGCCCTGTTGATTTGTGCATCATTGTTACCGTTCATTTGCAGCGCTTCTTCAACATGTTTAATTTAACTTCTCAGACTATCACCATCTGACACTTTCTTAGCCCGATGAATGAGCATCTTGATGAGAGCGAACTTCTGTGCGGGGTGATGGTGTGGCTCTGCATTCTGATAGGCGTCAGTGTGCGTTTTCTTTCGGTAAACGTTTTATGTCATTCTACCATTTCGACCTCGTCTGAGCAGAATATCCATAAATGATAGAGTTCTGTCAGCTTTCAGTTGAGATTATGTAAAAATGCGTTATCTTAGCCGTGTGGCCAGACCACCAATGTGTCATCCACATATCTACGCCTGATCATGTCGACATTGATACAACCGCAGTTCGATGCATCCACGTCTTCTGGTGATTATGCCGCCGATACGAATGGCGATGCTAACGATCATGAAGCTGCTGCTGCTAATACAGATGATTATGTTGATGAAGCTACTGCTGCTGATGATAGTGAAACTTTATGAAACGGCTGTTATTGATTGAGCTATTGACGCAGATGCTCACGATGATGATGCCAATGCTGGTGACGACGACTGGCACCGCAACCCTCACCTTGAGAAGGGGCGCGTGGCCCTGACGTCGTCCCCTGGGCTCACCCCTCACGGTCAACTCGGAGCGAGTGAGCAGGGACGAGACGACCGAGTACATGGGTGCTGTGAACGCAGTGACTAGGCACCAGTACACGCGCTCCTTCCATTTCTCTTGGCCTTCATCATCATCGGCAGCGTCCTCCTCCTCACCACCACCACCCTCCGCCTCTTCTCCATCATTTTTTCTCGCCGGCTCGCCGGATCGTGTCGTCCCCCTGCCCCTAGGGCAATTGACCATGGCCCCGGGGCAATTGCTAGCAGCCCTCTGGTCCGGAAGGGGTAGCGCAGGTAAATGAGCCGTGCACGTGTGAATGGCCAACATCGCTCCGACTGCCAGATTTTCTGTCGAGATATTCATGGTGCCTGCTTGTCTTATTAGAATCCCTAATTAATAGAAGGTATGTGATTGAGCCTTACGATTTAGTGGTCGATGTTAAGGTGCAAACGCATAGTCGCACCTATCAATCAATTTCATTTATTCAGACGTTCTAATTTCCGAACCACGATCTTCCTTAAAAAGGGCCCGTTGCCCGAAACGTCAAAAATGTTTTAAACCTTCAGTGACGGGAGAAAACCAATCACATCCTGAATCTGTATTATTTTAACAGTCAATGTTATTGCTGTTGTTGTTATTTAAAAAATGTAATCGTATTGAGCGTGCTACCGACTCACACGCTTCCACGATCGTTACTCAACGCCCCCAGTGGGCCCGCGAGAGAGGCAGAGACGGAGACGCCGCGCCCTGCTGCGTGGTTGGCGTTCCACGGCAGGAGCCCCCCACGCTGCTGGTGGTGCTGGTGGTCGCTGTCTGCTGCGTCTCTCCCCGCGGCTGGCGGGTAGCGCTTTTAAAGGACACCGCCACTTCTACCACCCCCCCCCCGTCTCCCTCCACCCCGCCACCCCCCCCCCCCCCACACTGGCACCATTATCACCCATCACCAAGCACCACTATCATCAGCGTTATTATTCACTACCCTTATCCATCACCGTTGCTCGCAGTGCGGCCAGCTGCCCACATCCTCACCAGCCATCGCCACCACCACCACCACCGCCGCCGGTCTCAAGTGAGTTGCCACCAGCGTCACCCGCCACCATCACAATCGCCATCACGTCAACGCACCACCTTCTTCAACTAACACCACCACAGCCAAAAACAACATCACCCCCCATAACTACCACGCACCGAAACTATTATTCATCATCACCACCGCCAATCACCACCACCCATCATCACCACCCACCACCATAATCACCCACTACCATCATCACCACCCATCACCACAATCACCCACTACCATCATCAACACCATCACTACCTATACACTCACAATCACCACTTCAATTGCCCGCCCATTATAACCATCACACCCCACCGCCGCCACCACCATCGCCTCTCCCCGCCCCTCCATCACAGATCCTATTTATAACGCAAGCATCAGTATCACCCCCCCTCCGACCCCCCCTTCCCCTACACCCAAGTGGCCCCGTTATCAGGACGAGGATATCCCTGCCCAGACCCCGTGCCAGCGTCTCGCGGGGCAAGAATCCAACACCAGAGGCGAAGGCAGAGGTCGCCACTAAGGGGTAGAGGGCATCTCCCTCTCGACTAACGAGCGGGGGCAGGGGGGGCAGTTGGGGGGAGGGGGCTGTCGGAGGCCCTCGGAAAGGGAGAGGAAATTCCACATTTCTATGGAATTCCTGTGGGATGTCGAGCTAGCTTGGTTGGGGTTAGAGGTAGCAGGGCTCGGGGTGGGGTGTGTCTCGCTGGCTCGTGCTGTTAGACTTTGAGGCAGGGCCAGGGCTGGATTGGCTCGTGTGGTTGGGGCTGGGGCCGGAAGTGGTAGTGCACGCGTTGTGGTGGTGGTAGTGCACGTGTGGTGGTGGTAGTGCACGTGTGGTGGTGGTAGTGCACGTGTTGTGGTGGTAGTGCATGTGTGGTGGTGGTAGTGCACATGTGGTGGTGGTGGTGCACGTGGTGGTGGTACACGTGTGGTGGTGATAGTGCACGTGTGGTGGTAGTGCATGTGTGGTGGTACACGTGTGGTGGTGGTAGTGCACGTGTGGTGGTGGTAGTGCACGTGGTGGTGGTACACTAGTGATGGTGGTAGTGCATGTGTGGTGGTGGTAGTGCACGTGGTGGTGGTGATGGTACACATGTGGTGGTGGTAGTGCACGTGGTTGTGGTACACATGGCCATGTGTTCAAGAATGGGATCGAGACTCGTGAATCTATTTTAACTGCCAGGGGCTCAAGTAGCATCAATACAGCGCATCCCCAAACTTAGCCCCCGATGCAGACACAAGTCACGCACATAGCGGCACACGTGTGTGTGTGTGCGTTATGCATGTGTGTGTGTGTTATGCGTGTGTATGTGTTATGCGTGTGTGTTTGGCGAGGAGCGGTGGCGCAGTGGTTAGCGCGCTGCGCTACGGAACCTGCGGCCCCAGTTCGATTTTCGCTCGAAACCAAAATCGGCGGAGAATTTTCTGAGCCGTTCCTGGGCCTCCTGCCCCTCGGTCAACTCAGCCTTAAATGGGCACTGTACCTGGTGCCATGTGTACACCTCAGAACCGGGGAGACAAAGGCGGCCGGGCGTCGTGCTGGCCACCCACCCCCTCGTGTGCCCATGCGCCCTTAATAGGTGCTCGCTAACCGCACTTGCCCCAAAAGTCTGTTGAAGGCTATGTGGAAGATCGTGGCGTGTGGCCGTGCACTACCACCACCACCACCACACGTGTATCACCACCACCACCACACATGCACGTTGAGCGACGCTCACAACAACGAGCAGAGCACCGGGTGGCTAAAACACCGCGAAGTGGCCGTGGGGAGACGGTCATCTCAACCAGTTAACCCACACGACCCGGGTCTGTCACGTGACCTACTGCAGGCAGCGAGACTTCGACAGCTCACGTGACACGTGCCTCTAAGTGCACCTAGCCTGGCACGGGCGCCGTGGCGACGTCACCTCGACTGACCTGCGTCAGTTTGTAGCGGCTGCCACGAGGTGTCGCTGCTGTGAAAGCTGTCGATGTTTCACCCCACGGAGGTCGCGATGATGGGGGTGGCGTGCATGATGATGGGGCTGGGTGGATGATGATGGGGGTGGGTGGGTGATGGTGATGATGGGGGTGGGTGATGATGATGATGGGGGTGGGTGATGATGATGATGGGGGTGGGTGATGATGATGATGGGGGTGCTTGGATGATGATGATGGGGGTGGGTGATGATGATGATGGGGGTGGGTGGATGATGATGGGGGTGGGTGATGTCGGTGGTGATGTGGGGACGGTTTGTCAAGTGCTCTGCCGCTGATGTCGGTGGTGATGTCGTGAAGGTGTTTGAAGCTGCCTATGCGTATGGACTGACTGATGATGCTGGGGTTTGAGATGATTTTTGTGTATAATGGGGGGGTCGTCACTGAATGAAAAGCAGTGCCCCCCATTCAGAGACAGCTCCTCGGCGTGGGCGAGCCGAGGATTCGATGTCGACTCAAAGAGCTCATCGCGAGTGAGCCAGCCGGAGTCTCATCGCGAGCAGCCTGAGTCTCGTCGGCGAGTGTGCCGGGAGTGTGGGGCGATGTCGCTCAGTGTGCTGGGGTCCGCCGCGTGTTGGGGGACCGCGTGAGTTGTGTGGGGTTGGGTGTTGGGGCTGTGTGGGGCTGGGTGTTGGGACTGTGTGGGGTTGGGTGTTGGGGCTGTGTGGGGTTGGGTGTTGGGGCTGTGTGGGGTTGGGTGTTGGGGCTGTGTGGGGCTGGGTGTTGGGGCTGGGTGGGGTTGGGTGTTGGGACTGTGTGGGGCTGGGTGTTGGGGCTGTGTGGGGTTGGGTGTTGGGGCTGTGTGGGGCTGGGTGTTGGGGCTGTGTGGGGCTGTGTGGGGCTGGGTGTTGGGGCTGTGTGGGGCTCGGTGTTGGGGCTGTGTGGGGCTGGGTGTTGGGGCTGTGTGGGGCTGGGTGTTGGGGCTGTGTGGGGCTGGGTTGTTGGGGGCTGGGTGTTGGGGCTGTGTGGGGCTGGGTGTTCGGGCTGTGTGGGGTTGGGTGTTGGAGCTGTGTGGGGTTGGGTGTTGGGGCTGTGTGGGGCTGGGTGTTGGGGCTGTGTGGGGCTGTGTGGGGCTGGGTTGTGGGGCTGTGTGGGGTTGGGTGTTGAGGTTGTCTGCTGACGTAGCCTTACCTACACCGGGTATTTCCCACTCTCGTTCTAAACAAGCTGCCGCCAACTCACCACCACTTCTGGCAATAGCCGCACTGCGGCCTCGCTCTCCTCCACCTCCTCCACCTCCTCCTCCTGCACATCCACCTGCACCTCCTCCTGCACCTCCTCCTCCACCTCCTCCTGCACCTCCTCCTCCACCTGCACCTAGCTGCCACTGCTACTCGGTGGCCTGAAATAAAATGTATCGCTCCAGATGACCGCTGCAAAGTATGATCTTGAGTTTTGATTAAAGTGTGCTGATCTGTAAAGGTGCATTGAAAAATGTTTGATACTCCTACTGATACTCCTGCTGTTATGGAGTGACTCATGCTGCCAGCTATGGCTGCAAAGTTTGGTCGTACATGTTATGGATATCGTTTATTGTTAAATTTGAATCACAGTTCCTATGATCACTGTTGCATTGTTTTTATAGCTTTATTTTGGTGATTTCGAAACGTTTTGGATTAGCCATATTTGTTTGTTGTAGTACAGAGTTAGACTGCTGACTTTAATCTAAATTGTCTTATGGTTATTGTTTGACTTGCATCCCACTGGGATTTTTGCACACAGCATTCATATACGGTGCTTTTTCTGGAAGACTTTGCTGTTTGTTCCTGGATTTTTCTGTTGCGCGTTGTCACTTTAGGATGTTTTCTTGTTCATGTTTTTGCTTGTTGCGGTTGCACCCGATTCAAGAGCCGAATGACTCACAGGGCTCTACCAAATAAATAAACTGAAACACCTCCACCACCACCGACTCCGGGCACAGAGACGGCAGAAGATCCGCGCCCAGTGCAGCCCTGCTGCTGCCGCCAGCCATCACGAGCGCGTCTCTCCCCGTCGCCTGAGACACTCTGTGTGTGTTGCAGTCCCATCATCGTGGCAGCCCTAATATGAACTCACATTGACGTGCATTGTTGTTGCTATGGTGACAAGTGGAGGAGTGGTGGCGCAGTGATTTGCGTCATTACGCCCATGCGGCTATCACCATCAGTGGCTGAGTGGTCTCTGAAATGGTCCTGGGCATCAGCTTGATATTGATTACAGTTAGTGTGCTCCGGTTGTTGGAGTCGTAGTAAAAGTGAAGACTGGAATGGCGTCATGCTCCGTCTCCCTTGTAAGCACCCCGAGCCGGCGGCGACAATTCCACATTCACGTGCCGAGAGCCAGAGGTCTGGTCTGTATGCACGGGGCCACCTCGGTTGACTTTTCACAACATTGTACCCGGTCAGGCGGGGTCGTCGTAAGTTGAACCCCCCCCCCCCCCCGTGTCGTGGCTTGCGACATCGTCATACACATGCCCAGTGCATGCGCGTACGCGGACTTGTTATGCATACAGGACACACACACGTACACACACATACAGGACACACACGTACACACACATACAGGACACACACGTACGCAAAGATGCTGACGCCTACAAAGCACTTCATACAAAACGCCAGGCGATGGCCGTTGAAAAAATATAAAACACATTCCTGCGGAGGGAGCTGGTAGGAACGTTGGGTTGCTCGGTCAATGGCCTGCAGGGTCAACGGCGGCGTGGTGTATTCCGCAATTATGCCCGACTGTGAGGGCGGGCACAAGCCGGCGTGAGTAGGTTAAACGTTGAGTTTTATAAGGGCACCACGGGGTGACCAGCCCCTCCCCACCCAGCCCCTCCCCACCCAGCCCCACCCTCCCCACCCAGCCCCTCCCACCCAGCCCAACCCCCCACCCAGCCCCTCCCCACCCTCCCCTCCAAACCCAGCCCCTCCCTCCCCACCTAGCCCCTCCCTGCACGACGGACACGATAATCCCCTGTGGGCTGGTGTAACCAGGAGGTTCCTACCAGTAAAAGTCAGTATTTCAAGAGCCGCAATGCACTGTGCTGGTGAACACGTCGGGGGCCTTAATAAACAACATCACGAAGCAGCAGCAGCAAGCAGCAAGCCCCCCCCCCCCCCCCCTTAAAGAGGCACAGGTTTGACGACGCCTGGGCGAGCAGCATCGGCGACGATGTTTAGACACAGGAGGGTGAGGTCGAGTATTGCTTTAAGGTGTTAACCACAGCGCCACCGCTCGCTTTAATAACGAACACACGTGTTCAGATTTGCCGGCCCATTCATCATCATGGCATGCACACACACACAGACAAGCCCATCGGCTGCACAAAAATCTAGCCGCCTCCTGCCGTTGTTATTGAGCTGATATGGCCCATGCCTTCCAATAACTCCAGACCAGGTGCCAGCATCATGACCAACTCGGGCATTGAAGTCACCCAACAGGATGACTATCTCGAGGAGCCACTTTAGCTAGTACCCACACACGCATACCCCACACACACCCCACACACCCCACACACTCACCACACACATCCCACACACACACACACCACACACACCATACACACACATCCCACACACACACACCCGACACAGGCACACCCCACCCAACACACACCACACACACCCCACATACACCCCACACACACACACCACACACACACCACACACACCACACACACACCACACATACACACCACACACACACACACCACACACACCACACACACCACACACACCACACACACCACACACACACACCACACACACTACACACACACACCACACACACCCCACACACACCCCACACACACATTTCACCCCCCCCACACACCCCACGCACACATCCCCCCCCACACACCCCACACACACCCGACACCCCCCCCACACACACATTCCCCCCCCCCCACACACACACCCCACACACACCCCCCACACACACACCCCACACACACACACACCCCACACACACACACACCCCACACACCCCACACACACCCCACACACACACCCCACACACACATTCCCCCCCCCACACACACACCACACACACACCCCACACACACACACCCCACACACACCCCACCCCCACACACACACACCCCACCCCACACACACACACCCCACACACACACCACACACACCCCACACACACCACACACACCACACACACCACACACACACACCCCACACACACACACACCCCACACACCCCACACACACCCCACACACACATTCCCCCCCCCCACACACACACCACACACACACCCCACACACACACACCCCACACACCCCACCCCCACACACACACACCCACCCCCACACACCCCACACACACACCACACACACCACACACACACCCCACACACCACACACACACCCCACACACCCCACACACACCACACACACCCCAGACACACACCCCACACACACACCACCCCCCCACACACCCCACACACCCCACACACCCCACACACACCCGACACCCCCCCCACACACCCCACACACACCCGACACCCCCCCCCCCCGCACACACACCACACACACCCGACACCCCCCCCACACACACACACACACACACACCCCACACACCCCACACACACCACACACACACCCCACACAGCCCACACACACCACACACACCCCAGACACACACCCCACACACACACCACCCCCCCACACACCCACACCCCACACACCCCACACACACCCGAAACCCCCCCCCCCCAACACACCACACATACACCCCACACACACCCGACACCCCACACACACACACCACACACACACCACACACACACACCACACACGGAGTCTCCTCCCCCGTGGACTCGAGTTAAGGAACCGGCAGCTTCCGCCAGAGTCAGTGGAAGAGAGAGAGGGAGGAGGGAGAGAGAGAGCGACAGACGAGAGGGAAGGAGAGAGGAGAGAGAGCGACAGACGTGAGGGAGGAGGGAGAGAGGGAGGAGAGAGGGGAGAGAGCGACAGACGGGAGGGAGGGAGAGAAAGCAGAGCGAGAGGCATTCGGAGTTTCGGACTCCCGAGAGAAGAGTCGAGCGAGGCGGTAAGGAGAGCGAGACGCGGGCAGCGTGAGGTGGACGGGGAGGGCTGTGCGTGCCACGTGTTGTTGTTTGTGGTTGTGTAGTTGTGATTGTGCGTGGTTGTGGTAGTGTGTGTGTGTGGTTGTGGTAGAGTGGTTGTGGTAGTGTGTGTGTGGTTGTGGTAGTATGTGTGGTAGTGTGTGTGGTTGTGGTAGCGTGTGGTTGTGCTAGTGTGTGTGATTGTGTGTGTGGTAGTGTCCCATCGGTGAGCTCCTCCGGCAGGCAAGGCTGCGTTGGCTGGGTCATGTAGCCCGCATGCCCAGCCACCGCATGCCTAAACAGCTTTTGTTCGGCCGGATCGAGGGGGCTAGACGGGCGCGGCACGGACTAGAGAAGAGATGGAGTGATGTGGTACAGGAGGACGTGGAGCTGAGTGGACTTGCTGATGACTGGTACCAGCGGTGTCAAGATCGACCTCTGTGGAGGAGGCTCGTGAAGGACGCTGCTGGGCAGTTGGAGGCAGTCGCCCTCCAGCAACAACGGAGGGCGGAGGAGCGACGCTCACAACAACGAGCGGAGCGCCGGGTGGCTAAAGCACAGCAAGTTGGCACAGTAGGGGGCACAGGTGGTGCATCAGCCAGTCATCTCAGTCATCTCAGTGAGTCGACCCGTGGCACCTGCTGGGTCTGCCCCGTGACCTCCTGCCAGCGGGCGTTCGACACTTCACGTGGCCTCAAGGTGCACTTGGCCTGGCACAAGCGTCGTGGTGACGTCACCGCCACTTAGTGGTGAATGGCGGTTGTTGTTGATTGTGTATGATTGTGTGGTTGTGGTAGTGTGTGTTTGTGGTAGTGTGTGGTTGTGGTAGTGTGTGATTGTGTGTCTGTGTTTAAGGTGGCGACTGTGTTTTTGTGGTGCCTGTTTTTTGGGAATAGGAGCGGACAGAAAAGCGAATCCGTTTGAGCAGCGTGGAGTGAATCCTGGTGACGGGTGAAGAGTTGCGGAGAGAGGGGGACATTCATCTTGATTCAACCACTTGCTCCCTGCGTCGAAACCTCGCAAGGTAAGCAAACGTAACTTGCTGCTGTTACCCGTCTCGTCGTGCTGCAGTAGCCCATGAAAACACATTCCTGCGGAGGGAGCTGGTAGGAACGTCGGGTTGCTCGGTCAATGTCCAGGGCCAACGGCGGCGTGGTGTATTCCGCAAATATGCCCGACTGTGAGGGTGGGCACAAGTCGGCGTGAGTAGGTTAAACGTTGAGTTTTATAAGGGCACCACGGGGTGACCAGCCCCTCCACACCCAGCCCCACCCCACCCAGCCCCTCCCCACCCTGCCCCTCCCCACCCTGCCCCTCCCCACCCTCCCCACCCAGCCCCTCCCTCCCCACCCAGCCCCTCCCTGCACGACGGACACAATAATCCCCTGTGGGCTGGTGTAACCAGGAGGTTTCTACCAGTGTCAGTACACGTGGATTGTTACATTCATGCAGCAGTGGACTGACCATGGCTGAAGACGATGATGATGGTTACAGCCGTAGTCAGGCAGAGTGACTATCTTGCTCAAAGAGCTCGGCTCACAGAGGGCTACAAGTTCTAATCCCTGGCTGTTGTCGGCTCGGCCCATCATCATCCTCATCTTTTCGGAGTCGATAAATCAGGTACCGCTTCGTGGACAATGTAAAGTCGACACTCGGTACTAGAACTGACGCCTGCCTTGGGAATGTGGAATGAACATCATCAGTCGCATCATGCCAATCATCTCTCCATGCTTGATTAAGTTGAGTGGTCATTGTCCTCTGGCTATACCCAGCTCTTCCATAGGAATGTGGAATTTCCATAATCGTTATCACCTGAGCTCGATATAAAACGAGACCCAATCGTGGACAATTTACGGTTTACGTCTACGAATACACTGGGCCCTTGGCTGCAAGACTACAATACCAACAATAAAGTGGAATGTCTGCATTCTTACGGCATTCTTACGGCAAGGGCCAGGGGATTCCCTACAGCAAAGAACAGGTACAGTGCACACGTGTGAAGAGCAGGTACAGTGCACACGTGTGAAGAGCAGGTACAGTGCACACGTGTGAAGAGCAGGTACAGTGCACACGTGTGAAGAGCAGGTACAGTGCACACGTGTGAAGAGCAGGTACAGTGCACACGTGTGAGGAGCAGGTACAGTGCACACGTGTGAAGAGCAGGTACAGTGCACACGTGTGAAGAGCAGGTACAGTGCACACGTGTGAAGAGCAGGTACAGTGCACACGTGTGAAGAGCAGGTACAGTGCACACGTGTGAAGAATAGGTACAGTGCACACGTGTGAAGAATAGGTACAGTGCACACGTGTGAAGAGCAGGTGCAGTACACACGTGTGAAGAGCAGGTACAGTGCACACGTGTGAAGAGCAGGTGCAGTGCACACGTGTGAAGAGCAGGTGCAGTGCACACGTGTGAAGAGCAGGTGCAGTGCACACGTGTGAAGAGCAGGTGCAGTGCACACGTGTGAAGAGCAGGTGCAGTGCACACGTGTGAAGAGCAGGTGCAGTGCACACGTGTGAAGATCAGGTACAGTGCACACGTGTGAAGAGCAGGTGCAGTGCACACGTGTGAAGAGCAGGTACAGTACACACGTGTGAAGAGCAGGTACAGTGCACACGTGTGAAGAGCAGGTACAGTGCACACGTGTGAAGAGCAGGTACAGTGCACACGTGTGAAGAACAGATACAGTACATCAAGGCCGTAGTCATGGAGTCAACATTGGGGGGGATCATCTCTTCCAGGGGGTCTGGGGTCCCCCCCCCCCCCAGAAAAAAAAATCTAAGTTTGAAAACTAATTTCCTGCGTAAAATATTAAAAAATTCACTAACACATCGGATGGACTTTTTATTTATTTTTTGCAATAATGTCTAATAGTGTATGGTATTACATTGCTCCTGTTTTTACATTTTCTTGTTTCATTGTATGTAATGGCAGAGATTAGGGATTAATAAAGTACAACCACAACAATATAAACATAAATCTGTTTTATAGCAATATATATTGTGGGGGGGGGGGGGGGCATTTTGAGCAGGCGAGCGGGTGGCTTAATGTGTAAATCGTGAAGCCACGAAGTGGGACAACTTGAATTGTACAACTGGGATCATGGGAGGTGGACGCGAGGTTGGGACTTGTAAGTTCTGGTTGGCTTAGATACGTCAATACATATTCACATACGTGTAGAGAAAGATCCCCCGTGTAGCCTCAACAGACTGTTGGGGCAAGTGCTGTTAGCGAGCACCTATTGAGGCCGGCACGGCACACGAGGGGGTTGGTGGCCAGCACCACGCCCGGCCGCCTTTGTGACCCTGGTGGCGATGTTTACTTATTTGAGGCCGAGTCGAACTAGGGGAGGCCCCGGATCGTTTCAGATAATCGTCGGTGAACAGACCGCACAGACAGACGACACATTAATCGTGGAACCGGCCAAGCATCTCGGTGCAGGACCATCTTTAAAAAAACAAAAGTCTTGAGCCTCATGGGAGGCTTGTCATGGGTTAATGAAGGACATCGTATTTTTGAACGAGAAGGAACTTAAGGAAGGCATCCACTGACGTGACGACATCGTCGTCGTCGGCTCTGTGTGAATGTCAGAGACGAGCAACTCCTTTGCACAACACTCAGCAGTGGTGGCAGCGGCGGAAGTGTGGGGGCGGGGAAGTGACGGCGTTGGGGGGGGGGGGGATTGTGGTGGGGGGGATTGTGGGGGGGGGGATTGTGGGGGGGGGATTGTGGGGGGGGGGATTGTGGGGGGGGGGGATTGTGGTGGGGGGGATTGTGGTGGGGGGGGATTGTGGGGGGGATTGTGGTTCAGTGGGGCGGGGAAGTGACGGGGGGGATTGTGGTGGGGGGGGGGTGATGATTGTGGCTCAGTGGTGGGGGGGGGGGATTGTGGAGGGGGGGATTGTGGTGGGGGGGATGATTGTGGCTCCCATCTCAAAAGCCCCCCCCCCCCGCCCCCCCCCCATTTGGTGTGTGCATTGAAGAGGAGAAAACTAAATAAAAACTGTCGCTTTTCACGATGCCATAGGAAAGAAGAAGACTCATTGTAGAAGAGCCGTGCACTGCCGCCCTCCTCCTCCCGCACTTCCGATTAGCGCGGTCGGCTTGGCACGGTTGCGAAATAAGTCCCACGCACATTATGACATTATCCATCGCGTCACCTCGCGTATAGTTTCCTTTAAAGGACACGCACGCACACCGCGTGTTATTGTTGACGAATGTGATTGGGGATACGAGAGGGAAGTTAGGCGGGGAGGGTAAGTTGTGAAGTGTTCAGCGTTGCACAAGACGGGAGGTGTGGTTGAGTGGGCCCCCACATGCTCTCTGGGTGTGGGGTCAATGAGCTCTGGGGGTTAGAGGGGGTTTGTTGATGGATGGCGACCACTTTTTGGTTGGCCATGGACTTGTTTTGTGTGGACTGGTCTGCAATTTAATTTTCGTGGTTACCAACAGCAGCTGTGCAGATGCGATTCAGCCCTCCACGGTACAATCTGGATTCACCGTAGATGGCTTCCGAATGTGACTGCACCGCAAGACGCCGTTGTGGTGAAACGGTGGGCATGATTACGTCGCACAGAGAGGCAGACCGGTCGTCATAGGCCGATGGAAAACATCAGTTCGGTCTTGAGCGTGACATTTAACAGGGGCAGGGAGACGAGAGCACGACCCGCGAGTGAAAAGGAGTTCCACTGAGCGAAGTTTGACGACTGCGGGCTTTGACAGGTTGTTCTGACATTTAGCGCACACTTGAAGAAGAGACTCAAAGTCCCCTCTCGGGAAATCGAGTCGGTCTATAAGTCAACTTCGATAAGGAAACAGCAACATTCGTGCTCGGCAAGCGTCCAAATGACAACGGCAGCTCAAGGCGACACTGCATAGATGGGAAGGACAACCGGATACAAAACTGGGAAGGCGAGCAAAGAAATGGGAATCGAGAGAGAGAGAGAGAGCAGAGATTATTTTTTTATTAAACAAAGTTGCCGAGCAGAGTAGGCCCAAGGGCCCAGGACGTCATAGCGGCCAGCAACAAACGGCACGATCAAAGTTGTCATAGATTCGAGCGCGATCCAACGTGTTTCTATTTATTTAGCAAAGTTATTGTGCAAAAGCTTTGGGGGGGGGGGGGCGGGGAGAGACCATGAGAGGGAATTCCAAAGCGGAGTAGTGAAAAGTGTTGTGATCTCGTGTGGTGAGTGGGTGAGTGAGGAGGTGTGTTGTGTCCTACAGTGTGGTGATTGGACACTGTGTGGATGATAGGAAACAGGCGGTGTCAGGTAGAATTGGAGACCAGTTTACATTGTGGGTGGAGTTGTCACATTTTAAGAAGAAACAAAACAAGTTTCCTTCCTCTCGAGTCTAGACCCACACTGTGAGGTGACGCCCTGCCGCAGTTCAGCTCCAGGCTCAAGACCTGGTGGGGTAAAGTGTGGGGACTCCCACCTCTCTAGGGGGACAAATCACCTCTTTAGGGGGGCCTCCCTGGTGCCCCCTCAAATGGAAGCACATTCCGGCCGGCAGTGGCATGAGCGGGTTAAACTGCAGGGCCGTGCCCTTAAATCTCCGTTTTATTTTAAGTGCTGCGCATTACCCCCGCTCGCTCCTCTGGCGGCACGCGGAAGTTTACGTTGGGTTGGAAAACCTGAGCCAGGTCTAAACTTTCCTCCCCCGCATCGCCTCCACGGCAGGGGCAGGCCTGGGTTCATCACAGAACCACTGTGGGGTTATTTGAGGGCCGTATCGTGAGTGACGGCAACACACGCAGCATCACGAGGTTTTTCCCCGGCGCGAACGCTCGCTTCCTGCGTTGCAAAACTTGACTCTTTTCCCCATAGTTTGATGGGAACTGTGCGCGTGAGTGTTTGTGGGCGCCACGGTGGCTAGGAGATGTTAACTACCTCGCCTGGTACACAGCAAGTCGTGGGTTCGATCCCGACCCCTGACGATGCCTGTTGTATATTTGGATGTCTGCGTGTCTCTCTCTACCCGTGTTCGCGTGTATTTTTCTCCAGGTCCTCCGGTTTTCCCCTCCACGTGTAAAATCACCGTCACGTGCTTAAGAGTATTTGGCTGCTATAAATTTCCACGCGATAAGCCACTTCGTTGAGCTTTCATTTGTGGTCAGGTCGCATCTGAAAAAGAGCGAATAGCTAGCTCACCTGGTAAAATAAAAAAAATAGTAAACTTTCGTATAGGACTATACTCCACGACCCACCCCGTGTCGGCATTCACATCACATGTGCTTCATCGGTGCTGCTACTACCTAACAGCACTTGGCCCACCCAAGTCTGTAAAGCTATCCGGGGAATCTTTGCCTTTGGGGAGTAGTGGCGCGTTGGCTTGTCATGCATGCCGGCGCTGCGCTATGCCGGCGCTACGAACCTGGCGACCCGACTTAAATTCGCGGCCAATGACAGCGGCTAATATTTGACCCGGCTATGATCCTCCTCTGAGTCGGCTCAGCCTGGAATGCGTATCTGGTGCGGTTTGTGTCAGCATCAGCCAACCACCCACCCCCTCGTGTGCCGTGTCGGCCTTCGTAGGTGTTCGCTAACATCACTTGCCCACAGACGTCTGCGAGTTGTTTGTGAGTTTTGCTGGTGCTGAGTGGTAGCACAGTTAGTACAGCGCTGTGTAACTGCACGCATCACCATCAATCCGACGAGCTGGATTGAATTCCGGGCCACGGACGACTAAAATCAGCCCCCCCGAGGTCTACTCGACCTTAAATTTGAGTGAGGGTGTAAACAACAGGAGCAGGGGGGTAAAGGCTGTGGCTCTTATCAGGAGTTGGGGGGGGGGGGTCTAGGAGATGTCAGGTTAGGTTTATCTTGAGTTTTGTGCTCGCTCACATCACCTACTCCCCCCCGCCACTCCTCCTGTAGCCTGGGGCTGGATACACCGCGAGTGTTGTGCAAAGTGCAGCTTGGGAACCACGGAGTCGCCACCATCCCACAACGCCAATCGCCTCAAACAACGACTCTGGCTGTCGCCTGATGACGCTGGTTGTTGTAATTACCGGCTAAACATCACTGTAACCGAATCGTAAATGTTGTGGGTTTACTCTCCAGCACGCAAGGTGTGCTGAACTAGTAACTAATTGGCACGTTTTATTTACGTGACAAACCTTACCAATTGTGTGTGTCGGGTGGTAGCGGGTTTAACGACACATTTTTAGTTACGCGATCTAACCCAAAAAAACCTCTGATGGATAACTATGCTCGGGATAGCCTACGTGTTAAACTAACTAAGCAACGCGTTGCAGTATGTTGTCGTGTCAAGGCAACCCTTGCGAATAACACGGGCGTTATAATCTGCGTTTTAACAGTGTGGCTGTTTAATTCCCAGTAAAACAAAAACAAACCCACCGCGCTCGTCACTAACGCTGCCTTTCACGACGGAAACGTGCGGCGTTCTGCTGACGTTTCGGGCCATGGTACCTTCTTCAGAGCACGTGAGGAGAGAGCGAGAGGATCGAGAAAGATTTGTCTTGAAGCTGGGTGGTGTGCTTGTACTCCGTGGGATCTTTAAACACGCGGTGGCGTTTACACGAACTGAGAGATGTGGAACGTGGGATGTGGCGGTTAGTATTGTACGCATTTTTTACTTCTTTATCACCGTACGTAGCCAACCGTGGTAATCTGAGGTGCTATTACCGTTGTTATGATGACCTTGTGGCTGAGCCAAGTTCCCACGCGATCCCTCGTCCCGTTTACTGGCCTCTGTTGCCTTAAATGTAGAAAAAAATATATAATTGATGTATTAATTGATTACTGGGCGCAGTGGGGATGTAGCTCTTTCGCTGTCTCTCGTTCAGTCGCTCATGGGGGTCTCAGATAAATCCCCTTCGCTAGTGATGACCTCAAGGCCACAATGACTCTTCCTTTACGCACTGACATCTTTGAAAAATAGCTTCATAGCTCATCGGATTCCTCCAATATAAATACATGTTGTGATTCTCACATCGCAGACCCAGATGCACACACACACCTGTGTTGGGGTTGCCTTAATTGAGCGGTGGCGCAGTGGTTAGCGCGGTGCGCCACAAACCCGGCGACCCGAATTAAATTCCCGCTCACGGCCAACAACACCGGTGACGATTACTTGAACCCCGTTGTGGGCCTCCCCTAGATAGACTCGGAATCAAAATGAACACCTGGAGCGATGTGTATTAAGCATCGCCACTAGGGAGACAAAGGTGAGTGGGGCGTGGTGCTGGCCACCCACAACCCCCTTAATGTGCATCGTGCCGACCTTAATAGGTGATACTCGCTAACAGCACCGCAATCCGCTGTTGCTAATCGAGGGATATTTGTTATAGCATGCATTGTGTGCTGTGTGGGGGTGGGGGTGTGTTTGACGTGTGTGTGTGCGTAAGGAAGGTTCTCTTTGAACCTTCACATACGTGTGTTGGCACTTGCTGCCGTTGGGTCCTGGGAAAGTCCCAGACCCCCTTGCCTTTATATTTGCTTAGCGCCGGTGCCACTACCGCCACCACCCACTCGACTACAGCGCCGCCGCCGTGTGAGCCGCTTCTATTTATGGAAAGCGGAAAGGTGAGAGAAAAAAAATCAATGTTGCACATATGTGGCTTCACCTTGAAGCATGTCGTGTGTGGCCGTGGAATGGCTGTGCACAGCAATGGAACCAATTCGTCGACTTCAGAAACCGCGTGGCTGCTGCTGCTTGTGGTTCCTCTGAGTCACTTTCTCTCTTTGTCGCTCGCTGCAAGAGCGAGCGGAAGCTGTGCGGTGGTGCCGGAATAATGTTCATAATTTCGAGTTGAAATAATGAACATTCTTCATCTTAGCAGGAGCCCTGGGTGCCTTGCGGTTGGGGGGGATCTTTCGTGGTGGCACAGTCACATGACGCAGTTCAGTTATAGGTAACTTTGCTAGAGGTAGCGGGGTCGCAGAGATCGGAATACTAATATAATGAAATGTGGTGTGTACAAGAGGTTTCTTGAAAGGATCTCTGAAGGAATTCTGTTGTTTCTACTTCTGCGGTCCGTTCCCTAACACACAGCAATTTACTGCTCAATGTTTGCATTCCGAACGGACACCTCGTCGGCTGACACGACGCCGGTAGCGCATTTGGAATAACCCCGGGGGGGAAGTAAAAGAACTGAAAATAAAAGCGAATTGGGTTTTGACGACAGTGATGGGATCTTAACACGCACGACCCCTGACCTCTGCAGCGGGAGCGACGATCGGGCTCGCACGGGGTCACACTCTCGGCCAGAGCGAGGATCTGCAGCGGCCGACAATCGCATCCTTCAGCGACAACGAGGAGAAAGGGAGAGACAGGGAGGAAGAGAGAAGAGGAGGAGTTAGGGGGACATCCCGTGAGCGGCCGATGGCTGCGCGCGCTGGTGCGGGAGGTGAGTGCCACGAGGAGGAGGGGGGGGCTGTGGCCTGCTGACCCCAGAACTCCCCTCTCCCAGCCAGCCATGATGTTTACTTCCTACCCCTGTTCAATTCTAGGCTGTGTGTGTGTGTCACCTGGTTGTGTGTGTGTGTCACCAGGCTGTGTGTGTGTGTGTGTCACCAGGCTGTGTGTGTGTGTGTCACCAGGCTGTGTGTGTGTCACCTGGTTGTGTGTGTGTCACCAGGCTGTGTGTGTGTGTGTGTCACCAGGCTGTGTGTGTGTGTGTGTCACCAGGCTGTGTGTGTGTGTGTGTCACCAGGCTGTGTGTGTGTGTGTGTGTCACCAGGCTGTGTGTGTGTGTGTGTCACCAGGCTGTGTGTGTGTGTGTGTGTCACCTGGCTGTGTGTGTGTGTCACCTGTAGTTGTGTGTGTGTGTGTCACCTGGTTGTGTGTGTGTGTGTCACCAGGCTGTGTGTGTGTGTCACCTGGTTGTGTGTGTGTGTCACCTGGCTGTGTGTGTGTGTGTCACCAGGCTGTGTGTGTGTGTCACCTGGTTGTGTGTGTGTGTGTCACCTGGTTGTGTGTGTGTGTGTCACCAGGCTGTGTGTTGTGTGTGTCACCTGGTTGTGTGTGTGTGTGTCACCAGGCTGTGTGTGTGTGTCATCAGGCTGTGTGTGTGTGTGTCACCAGGCTGTGTGTGTGTGTGTCACCAGGCTGTGTGTGTGTGTCACCTGGTTGTGTGTGTGTCAGCAGGCTGTGTGTGTGTGTGTGTGTCACCTGCAGTTGTGTGTGTGTCACCTGTAGTTGTGTGTGTGTGTCACCTGTAGTTGTGTGTGTGTGTCACCTGTAGTTGTGTGTGTGTGTGTCACCTGTAGTTGTGTGTGTGTGTGTCACCAGGCTGTGTGTGTGTGTGTCACCTGGCTGTGTGTGTGTGTCACCTGGTTGTGTGTGTGTCACCAGGCTGTGTGTGTGTGTGTCACCTGGCTGTGTGTGTGTGTCACCTGTAGCTGTGTGTGTGTGTGTCACCTGTAGCTGTGTGTGTGTGTCACCTGGTTGTGTGTGTGTCACCAGGCTGTGTGTGTGTGTCACCTGGTTGTGTGTGTGTCACCAGGCTGTGTGTGTGTGTCACCAGGCTGTGTGTGTGTGTCACCTGGTTGTGTGTGTGTGTGTGTCACCAGGCTGTGTGTGTGTGTGTCACCAGGCTGTGTGTGTGTCACCTGGTTGTGTGTGTGTGTGTGTCACCAGGCTGTGTGTGTGTGTGTGTCACCAGGCTGTGTGTGTGTGTGTCACTAGGCTGTGTGTGTGTGTCACCTTGGTTGTGTGTGTGTCACCAGGCTGTGTGTGTGTGTGTCACCTGGTTGTGTGTGTGTGTCACCTGTAGTTGTGTGTGTGTCACCTGCTTGTGTGTGTGTCACCAGGCTGTGTGTGTGTGTGTCACCTGGTTGTGTGTGTGTGTCACCTGGTTGTGTGTGTGTCAACAGGCTGTGTGTGTGTGTCAACAGGCTGTGTGTGTGTGTCAACAGGCTGTGTGTGTGTGTCCACCAGGCTGTGTGTGTGTGTCACCAGGCTGTGTGTGTGTGTCACCAGGCTGTGTGTGTGTGTGTCACCTGGTTGTGTGTGTGTGTGTGTCACCTGGTTGTGTGTGTGTGTGTGTCACCTGGTTGTGTGTGTGTGTGTCACCTGGTTGTGTGTGTGTGTGTGTCACCTGGTTGTGTGTGTGTGTGTCACCAGGCTGTGTGTGTGTGTGTCACCAGGCTGTGTGTGTGTGTGTCACCAGGCTGTGTGTGTGTGTGTCACCAGGCTGTGTGTGTGTGTCACCTGGTTGTGTGTGTGTCACCAGGCTGTGTGTGTGTGTGTCACCAGGCTGTGTGTGTGTGTCACCAGGCTGTGTGTGTGTGTCACCAGGCTGTGTGTGTGTGTCACCTGGTTGTGTGTGTGTGTCACCTGGCTGTGTGTGTGTGTGTCACCAGGCTGTGTGTGTGTGTGTCACCAGGCTGTGTGTGCGTGTCACCTGGTTGTGTGTGTGTCACCAGGTGTGTGTGTGTGTGTCACCAGGCTGTGTGTGTGTGTCACCTGGTTGTGTGTGGTGTGTCACCAGGCTGTGTGTGTGTGTCATCAGGCTGTGTGTGTGTGTGTCACCAGGCTGTGTGTGTGTGTGTCACCAGGCTGTGTGTGTGGTCACCTGGTTGTGTGTGTGTCACCAGGCTGTGTGTGTGTGTCACCAGGCTGTGTGTCACCAGGCTGTGTGTGTGTGTCACCTGGTTGTGTGTGTCACCAGGCTGTGTGTGTGTGTGTCACCAGGCTGTGTATGTGCGTGTCACCTGGTTGGGTGTGTGTCACCAGGCTGTGGTGTGTGTGGTCACCAGGACTGTGTGTGTGTGTCCACCAGGCTGTGTGATGCGTGTCACCTGGGTTGTGTGTGTGTCACCAGGCTGTGTGTGTGATAGTGTCAACAGGCTGTGTGTGTGTGGTCACCAGGCTGTATTGTGTGTGTGTCACCAGGCTGTAGTGTGTGTGTGTGTCACCAGGCTGTTTGTGTGTGTGGTCACCAGGCTTGTGTGTGTGTGTGTGTCACCAGGCTGTGTGTGTGTGTGTGTCACCAGCTGTGTGTGTGTGTGTGTCACCAGGCTGTGTGTGTGTGTGTTCACCAGGCTGTGTGTGTGTGTGCTCACCAGGGCTGTGATGTGTGTGTGTGTCACCAGGCTGTGTGGTGTGTGGTGTGGTCACCAGGTCTGTGTGTGTGTGTGGTGTCACCAGGCTGTGGTGTGTGTGTGTCACCAGGCTAGTGTTGTGTGTGTGTGTCACCAGGCTGTGTGTGTGTGTCGACCAGGCTGTGTGTGTGTCACCAGGCTGTGTGTGTGTCACCAGGCTGTGTGTGTGTGTGTGACCAGGCTGTGTGTGTTGTGTGTGTGTGACCAGGCTGTGTGTGTGTGTCACCTGCTTGTGTGTGTGTCACCAGGCTGTGTGTGTGTGTGGTCACCTGGTTGTGTGTGTGTGTCACCTGGTTGTGTGTGTGTGTCACCTGGTTGTGTGTGTGTCAACAGGCTGTGTGTGTGTGTCACCAGGCTGTGTGTGTGTGTCACCAGGCTGTGTGTGTGTGTCACCAGGCTGTGTGTGTGTGTGTCACCTGGTTGTGTGTGTGTTGTGTGTCACCTGGTTGTGTGTGTGTGTGTGTGTCACCTGGTTGTGTGTGTGTGTCCACCAGGCTGTGTGTGTGTGTGTCACCAGGCTGTGTGTGTGTGTTGTCACCAGGCTGTGTGTGTGGGTGTCACCAGGCTGTGTGTGTGTGGTGTGTCACCAGGCTGTGTGTGTGTGTCACCTGGTTGTGTGTGTGTCACCAGGCTGTGTGTGTGTGTGTCACCAGGCTGTGTGTGTGTGTCACCAGGCTGTGTGTGTGTCACCAGGCTGTGTGTGTGTCACCAGGCTGTGTGTGTGTGTGTGTGTCACCAGGCTGTGTGTGTGTGTGTGTGTCACCTGGTTGTGTGTGTGTGTCACCTGCTTGTGTGTGTGTCACCAGGCTGTGTGTGTGTGTGTCACCTGGTTGTGTGTGTGTGTCACCTGGTTGTGTGTGTGTCAACAGGCTGTGTGTGTGTGTGTCACCAGGCTGTGTGTGTGTGTCACCAGGCTGTGTGTGTGTGTCACCAGGCTGTGTGTGTGTGTGTCACCAGGCTGTGTGTGTGTGTGTGTCACCAGGCTGTGTGTGTGTGTGTCACCTGGTTGTGTGTGTGTGTCACCAGGCTGTGTGTGTGTGTGTCACCAGGCTGTGTGTGTGTGTGTCACCAGGCTGTGTGTGTGTGTGTGTCACCAGGCTGTGTGTGTGTGTCACCTGGTTGTGTGTGTGTCACCAGGCTGTGTGTGTGTGTGTCACCAGGCTGTGTGGTGTTGGTCACCAGGCTGTGTGTGTGTTGGTCACCTGGTTGACCTGTGTGTGTCACCAGGCTGTGTGTGTGTGTCTACATGGCTTGTGTGTGCTGTGTCACCTGGTTGCCTGTGTGTGTGTGTCTACCAGGCTGTGTGTGTGTGTGTCACCAGGCTGTTGTTGGTGTGTCACCATGGCTTGTGTGTGGTTGGTCACCAGGCTGTGTGTGTGCTGTTTGTCACCATGGCTGTGTGTGTTGATTGTCATCAGCTGTGTAGTGTGTGTGTCACCAGGCTGTGTGTGTGTGTGTCACAGGCTGTGTGTGTCGTGTGTCACCATGGCTGTGTGTGCAGTGTCACCTAGGCTGTTTGTGTGTGTGTCACCAGGCTGTGTGTGTGTGCACCAGGCTGTGTGTGTGTGTGTCACCTGGTTGTTGTGTGTGTCACCAGGCTGCTGTGTGTGTGTCATCAGGCTGTGTGTGTGCTGTGTCACCAGGCTGTGTGTGTGTGTGTCACCAGGCTGTGTGTGTGTGTCACCTGGTTGTGTGTGTGTCACCAGGCTGTATGTGTGTGGTGTCACCAGGCTTGTGTGCTGTCACCAGGCGTGTGTGTGTGTGTCACCAGGTGTGTGTGTGTGTCACCAGGCTGTGTGTGTGGTGTCACCAGGCTGTGTGTGCGTGTCACCTGGTTGTGTGTGTGTCACCAGGCTGTGTGTGTGTGTCACCAGGCTGTGTGTGTGTGTCACCAGGCTGTGTGTGTGTGTGTCACCAGGCTGTGTGTGTGTGTGTGTCACCAGGCTGTGTGTGTGTGTGTGTCACCAGGCTGTGTGTGTGTGTGTGTCACCAGGCTGTGTGTGTGTGTCACCAGGCTGTGTGTGTGTGTGTGTCACCAGGCTGTGTGTGTGTGTGTCACCAGGCTGTGTGTGTGTGTGTGTCACCAGGCTGTGTGTGTGTGTGTGTCACCAGGCTGTGTGTGTGTGTGTGTCACCAGGCTGTGTGTGTGTGTGTGTCACCAGGCTGTGTGTGTGTGTGTGTCACCAGGCTGTGTGTGTGTGTGTGTCACCAGGCTGTGTGTGTGTCACCAGGCTGTGTGTGTGTGTGTGACCAGGCTGCGTGTGTGTGTGTGTCACCAGGCTGTGTGTGTGTGTTGTGTCACCAGGCTGTGTGTGTGTGTGTGTCACCAGGCTGTGTGTGTGTGTGTCACCAGGCTGTGTGTGTGTTGTGTCACCAGGCTGTGTGTGTGTGTGTCACCAGGCTGTGTGTGTGACCCAGCAGGCTGTGTGTGTGTGTGTCACCAGGCTGTGTGTGTGTGTGTGTGTCATCAGGCTGTGTGTGTGTGTATGTGTCACCAGGTTGTGTGTGTGTGTATGTGTCACCAGGCTGTGTGTGTGTGTATGTGTCACCAGGCTGTGTGTGTGACCCAGCAGGCTGTGTGTGTGTGTGTGTCACCAGGCTGTGTGTGTGACCCAGCAGGCTGTGTGTGTGTGTGTCACCAGGCTGTGTGTGTGTGTGTGTCACCAGGCAGGCTTGTGATCCTGGTGCAGCCGCAGTCGCTCTCCGTGTTCGCGGGCCATGACGTGGAGCTGCTGTGCGTCGCCGAGGGCTCCGGCGAACTCCACTACACCTGGTTCCACGGCCAGGTGCAGGTGAGACTTCCATTCTGTTCCCCCCCCCCCACAGCTGCCGCCGCCTCAGTTGGGCAGCGTTTAACATTGGTTCGTGACAGAGCGGGGACCGTCACGGTGAGTGGAGATGAGGAAGGGCTCAGCCATGGTGGTGAGCAGGGGCCACGTGCTCTCTCCGCGCTCTCTCCCCGCTGTCTCCCCGCTCTCTTTGCGCTCTCTCCCCGCTGTCTCCCCGCTCTCTCCGCGCTCTCTCCCCGCTCTCTCCGCGCTCTCTCCGCGCTCTCTCCGCGCTCTCTCCCCGCTCTCTCCCCGCTCTCTCCGCGCTCTCTCCGCCCTCTCTCCGTGAAAGTGACCGGGAGCTGCCCGCCGGTGCCGATCGCAACACGCGCGACAGCCGAGCGAAAATGTTGCCGCTCTTCAGTAGCATAAACTTTTCTCTCTCCCTCCATCTCTCTCCCTCTCTTTCTCCATCTCCCCCGCTCTCTCCTTCCCGCCCCCCCGCTCTCTCCCTCTCTTCCACCGTCTCCCTTCCTCTCCGTCGCCCTGTGGCAGCCAGGGAAACGTGCCGAGCGTCTGCCGAGCGCCAGGAAGCCGCGTGCCGGCGTGTTGGTCGGCGGCTGAGGGGAAGCGCGGTAGCGGTGAAAGCGTTTCCCAGAATTGCGGTGACGTCTCCGTGGAAGCCTCGCCGTAGCAGGAGCCACCGGCGTGCCGCGATCGCCGCCCCGGGTGGGAGGGGGTGGGGGGAGAGCGGATCTCTCGTGGCGGCACAGTCACGTGACGCAGTTGAGTTATCGGTAACCGTGCTAGAGGTAGCGGAGTAACTGGGAGTCGAGTTTAACCGGCGAGGGGTCCGGGTAATGTGCACGCCGCATGTGCGACATGGCCGTGGGTCTCCGTTTGGCCACCAAGGTTAGCCACCTGGTTTGGCCGCGTCGTTGAGGCCTTGTGGTTTAGCCGAGTGATTGGTTTCCCAGAAACCTGAGTTCCTCCACGTGTCGCACGGCAAACCCGCTACCCCCTCTCAACTGCAAGCACACATGCGGCTCACCTCCGATTCGCACGGTTGGCTACATAAGGTGCGAAAGAAGTTCAACGTACGTACAACCGCCCGCCTGCTTTTCCCACCTGTGCCGCAGCACCCTGGGCATTGAAGTAAACATCTGTGATGCTGCGTTAGGAGTGGCGCATCACGACGAACAACACCAATTTGGCACTTTTGTCAGTGTTCCTCTTGCCTAGCGCCGAGTGAATATCACACACCCCTAACGAGTGAATATCACACACCCCTAACGAGTGAATATCACACACCCCTAACGAGTGAATCTCAACGCAACCCTCACGAGTGAATCTCAACGCAACCCTCACGAGTGAATCGCAACCCGAACATTCGATGCTCAGGTGTGAAAGCCACGCGGCAGATTCTGCTGAGCCTGAGTGAATCGCTGCTGCTGCTGCACCTCCTTTGATTTTTCAAACTTCACATTGCTTCAATATCACTTCCCGTTGAAGAGGAAAACAATATATGTGTAGTGGGTCCAACTGAGTCATGGACATTGTTCCTTTTAGAGGCAACACTTTTATTTGTAACACCGTCACACAAAGGGGCAGTACCTGCTCCTTTACCAGACGACAGCGAGTTACTGCTACAAAGGGTCGATCCCTCACTCGGGTCTCCAACCACGTGGTTGCCTCGTAGGATGGAGAGCTTCAGCTTGTAGATGTTGAGCTTGCCGCTTGTAGAATGCGGCGACCTCGGTCCCTGTCAGGGACCCGCCTTATATCCCCCTCCGGTCGGGGCCGCTCCGCCCTCTGCCCCGCCCGCCTTCCTGAACAATCTCGTTCCCTCTCGATCCTTCTCAAGAGCTCTCTCCGGACACGTGATCACCCCTTAGTCCCTCCACCTGGGGCCCCCTGTGTGGGGCAACCCTGTCCCTGGGCTGACACTCACCCTCCCCCTTTGGGGGGGGGGGGGGAGCCCCCACCACACGCTGTGCATGGTGCCCGCACTACCCCAGTGCTCGCCAAGCCCCGCTAGGGCTGGTATTACACACAGCCACCCACACGGTGCTGTCCACGATGTAGGAACATCGAACGGCACGGTCCTTTCGGGCCGGCACCATACAGTGACATCCCTGATGTCACTACATCTATATAACGGACGAATGCTTTGAGTTTCTGGGTTTTGGGTGTTCGGAGTAGATTTTGTTGAACCGAGCGATTAACTTACGGGACCAGGATGAGTCACGGTCACCAGAGCGAGCTGGCATTGAGGGCGCTGACGCTACGGCTGCTGTCGCTTTTAAACCATCGAGATTGAAAAGAATTTCTTTGAAAAACTGCTTTTTTGTGTTTACATACGTACGTGGGTGACGCTGTTGGCATAATCATTATCAGCATCGTCGTCGACGTCGTCTTCGACGGCTCGACGCGCTGTTGTAGTTTCTCACTCGTGTGTGCCCCCGTGTGCCCCCGTGTGCCCCCGTGTGCCGTGCAGGTGGCAAACGCCAACCATGCCCTGCTGGAGATCCCGCACGTTGACCCACGGCATGAGGGTTACTACACGTGCCGCGTCAACAACAGCGGCGGGGAGTGCGTCTTCTCTGAATGGACGCGCATCACCGTCATCCACCCCCCCCGGGACGGTAGGTGGTGTGCGGTGCTGTGTGGTGGTGTGCGCTGCGGCGTGATGCGGTGTGGTGCGATGCACACGCATGGACAAACTTGAGCCCTGCCTCCATGAAACCACCTCCACCACAAACAACCACCACCCCCGCCACCGCCAGCCATAACCGCGGCCCGCCGCACGCACACAGGCGTGGAGGTGCCGTTCCCACGGCTCGGCCACCTGGAGTTGGTGGAGCAGCCGGCGGAGTGCACGGAGCTGGCCGTGGGCGACACGCTCATCCTGGAGGTGTCCGCCATCGGCACGCCGTGCCCAGCCTACCAGTGGCTGCACAACGAGGAGGCGCTGCCCGGCTCCACCAAGCGCTCGCTCATGGTGAGTGACCGGCGACGCCACTCGGGGGTGCCCGTCGTTCGTCGTCGTTGTCATCATCATAACAATCGTCATGGCTATGATCATCACAATCATCATCTCAATTATCGTCAGCAGCGCTCGCTCATGGTGAGCGGCCGGCGACGCCACTCGCGGGCCCGTTGATTTGTCGTCGTCGTCGTCATCATCGTCGCCACAACCACAACCGTTGTCAGCAGCCGTGGTCTGTCCACTGCTGAATGGGGGGCGCCTCCCAGCCGCCACCTTTCGTGGCCTCGCGGTTCGACAATCCACCTCACGTGTGCACAGGAGCCTATTACATCGCTCCCTCTCCTCCGTGGACGTCCTTTTGGCCGAGTTGCCTTCCTTCGGATGCCGCTTCGTTATTATTATTATTATTATTCATCCCCCGCCTCCAATCCGTGACACGTCACTCGCTCGCTTTTCTGAACGGCTGGAATGAAGCCGTGAACCTGCTGTGCGTGCCTTTTAGGCGTCGGTCGCCTAAAATGATATGGCCATGCATTCAGAAATACAGCAGTGACTCGCACCGCACAGGGAAATCTTCAAATATAAGGGAGACATTGAAGAAGGTGACGCGTTGCCGTGTGGCACAGGTCGACGGCGTCAAGAAGGAGCACGAGGGGCGCTACCAATGCCGCGTCTCCAACCCATTGGGGCACGAAGTGCTCAGCAACTGCGCACGCGTCAACGTGTGTGAGTCTCACGCATGATTACGCACGCACAATCACGCATGCACGGTCACGTACCGTCACGTACGCATGCATACATGCGTGCGTGATCATGCACGCACGCACGATCACGCATGCACGGTCACATACGCATGATCACGCACACACGATTATGCACGCACGCATGATTGCGCACGATCACGCACGATCACGCACATGCACGATCACTACAACACCTGACGTCTAGTAAGCCAGTCTGTCTCTAGGATTCGAGGTCACGATGTTACACTGCCATGCCACACCGGTGCTTACTTTTAAGGCTGAGTCGACCTAGGGGAGGCCCATAACTGGTTCAGATAATAAAAACTGGTGTTTATCGTGAGAGGGAATCGAACTCGGGTCGCCAGGTTTCTAACCACTACACTGCCGCTCACCAAACATTAAGCATGCACAAACGCATGCATGCACGCACGTCGCACGCACGTCGCACGCAAGTGCGACTTACCCATTAACGAATCCACTGCTGGATGAGGGAAAGCTTCCCCAAGCTGCTGCCGTCATTCACGGTCCATCGACGTCGCGGTCCGTGAATGATCGGGCAACATCTTCCGTCCATGCCGTGCGGTTGTTCAATTTGGACAGCTGCGAAAAAGAGATTCACAGATCATCAGATTCCTCCGGCCTGTAAAAATATTTTATTTAATTCTGAGTCTCGCGTGGTTTTTTCCGGCATTCTGTCCCCGCCACAGACCCGACGCCGGCGATGACGGCGATGACGACGACGGCGGCGGCGGCAGGGAAAGAGGGCGCTCTTCCTGAAGGTAAGAGAGCAAAGGATGACGAGCCTTAAGCGCAGCTTGCGGCGTTTCTGGATATTGAGCAGAGCTATCATCGTAAGAGCTGGCCGGGGGAGCAGGGGGGGGCGAAAGAGACGATGTTTTTGGAGTTACGCAGTGCGACTCACGGGCGCCGTTCATGAAACACGCATCCAGTTATGGGAGTAAGAAACGATCATTTTAGTTTCATTTGTGTCATATGTAAGTGGGTCACGTGACCCCTGCAGCAGCGACTAGCAGAAGTGCCAGATTGATCTTGATAAAAATAATCCCCCTCCGCCCCCTCCAACTTTTTGTGTGAATTAATGAAATCGCCATGGGAGGCCGAGCGACGTAAATTTGAGCTCTTGGTGGGCGGCTCATGTTGGTGAGAGTATTCGCGTGCATTCCCTACTTCTACTATTTTCAAACTCTCTGCAAACTGGGGTTGAAAGCGTTGATGCACCAGCTCCGTCTGTCCCGTCAGTCCGTCTGTAACGGGAGGGGGGGGCGATGGGGGGAGGGTACGATAGCTCCGTAAGGATGACGACGCGATAGGAGCGAGAGACGCAAGTTGTTTGCGACTCGCCGTGGGGAAACCGGCCACATCCATCGAAGCGTTGCCCACGCCCCTCCCCCCCACCCCCCACCCCTCACCCCCCGTGGTCTTTCCGCGGCCTATGGCAGCGCTGCTTTATTATTATTATCCCAAAATGAAATAAAACGTTCTTCTCCCGCTCCGTGTCCGTCAGCGATGAAAGCGACGTTCGTGCAGACGGATCACGACGTACCGATCGAGACGCTGCACATGCCGGACAGGTGCTGCCCAAACTGTGGAGGTAACGCTTCGCCCGCCTCACTCTCACAGCGAGGACACTGGCATTGATTTACAACACGGGGGGGCCTTGCTGAGCCTCTGGGGGGGGGAGCGGGGGGGGGGAGTCTGCTACATTGGAATACACTGTTTTGTTTGGCCATGGATTTCTTAGCGATGGGAGTTTGGCTTCGTGTGGGAGGAGGAAACCGGAGAGCCACGGTGGCGAGATGTTCACTACCTCGCCTGGTATGGAGAAGGTCGTGGGTTTGATCCCGAGCCTGACGCCTGCTGCTATATATTTGGAGTTTGCGTGTCTCTCTGCCCGTGGTCGCGTCGATTTTTCTCCGGGTCCTCCGGTTTTTCCCTGCACATTTAGAAACATGCATTTAAGAATATTTGGCTGCTATACATCTCCACATGATAAGCCACTTCGTTGAGCTACCATTTGTGGCCAGATCACTTCTGAAAAAAATCTATAAAGCTCAGTGGGCTTTACCTGGCAAAATAAAAATAGTTTAGTTTAATAGTTTTAAACCTACCGCTGCACCGCTGTACACGAGGGGGGGGGGGAGACACCTGGTATTGGCGTCTCCTAGCCACAGCTCTCGGCTCCACGCCTACAGCACCTGGCATGCCCTGAGACTGCGAGGATTGGTTCCGATGCGCCGTGTGTGCGTGTGTGCTTTCAGGGCGTCCGGAGTCACCAATGCGAGAAATCTTCAACGGTAAGCTCGGGTGTCTTGGGGTTTCCTTGGGGCTTCATTTCTCTCTCAATATTGCAGGGGCACGGATTAGACTGGAGTTGACACGTGACTCTCAGTTTCTGCTGATGAGGATGATGATGATGATGATTGATAATAGTTATTCGGATGCTGCTCAAAAGTAAAGTGATTTCCTGCTCAAATGAGAATTGATGCATTGGCACTCAGCTCCTATTTACAGCCCTGAGCCATCGGACAACAACCAATGTTGACTTCCCTACAAAGTGGTACTTATTGTATCGACCCGAGAGGGATGATGAGTCACATCCTTCTGTTTGCTAGCAGCTAGCTGTTCCACTGAGCCTCATGGCTAAGATGCTGCTGATGTTGACGTTTAGGCTGATGCTGCTGCCGACTTCTCTGACGATCGGAGATGGGGACGATGACGAGAGCACCGATGACGACGACTCGGCTGGCGCTAATTTCCAACGTTGACCTCTGACCCCTCCCATCCCCCCCCGCATCGTCCCCCGTACCCCCCAGCGGTGGACAAGGTGGCGCTGCTCATAGGCAACATGAAGTACGAGGCGCAGGTGCAGCTCAACGCGCCCAAGATGGACGTGCACGAGCTGGCCGGGCGGCTGCACCAGCTCGGATTCAAGGTGGTGTCACTGGTGGACGGCACCCAGATGGAGATGATGCGCGCTGTCGAGGAGTTCCTGCACCTCCTGGGAGAGGGCGTGTACGGTACGCGTTCCTCATCGCCGTCGTCACGATCGCCTCCATTGTGATCATCAAAATCATCGCCTTTGTGACGATCCTCGCTGTCGTCACGATCGCCGTCGTCACGATCATGAACATCGCTGTCGTCATCATCGCCGTGATCACAATCATCAACATCATCGCCGTCGTCACCATCGCCGTCATCACGATCGCCGTTGTCTCGACCGATTGACCCACGTGACTTACGGAATATGCAGGGCTTATTGTCATTGCTGTAAATGTTTGTTGTTGTCATTCTGCCCATGTTCATCATTGTGATTATTATCATCATCATCAATGGGCTCTTTGCCAAGTTCAACAGACATAAATCCATCAACACTATTGTTATCATCTCATCGTCATGTGAGATTCTTAACACAGGTCTCAAAAGCAAAGCACTTCAGAAACAATTGGCGATAATTCTAAGACACACGTCAGATACACCCAATTCAAATGCACACCGTGCACGATCCGCACAGTCCCACACCTCTGATTAGCACGGTTGGCTACGTACGGTGCAAAAGTAGTTCGGGCCAGCTCCGCCGCTAATTCATTACAATTAGTCGGACGGGACGACCTCCTGAGCGGGCGACTCGTGCGACGCGCAGGGCTGCTGTACTTTGCGGGCCACGGCTACGAGAACCTGGGCGAGTGCTTCATGGTGCCCGTGGATGCCCCGCGGGAGTACGGCGCACAGCACTGCCTGCAGGTCGGCACCATCCTCTCCGCCATGCAAGAGCGTCTCACGGGCCTCAACGTCCTGCTGCTCGACATGTGCCGCAAGCGGTGAGGTCTCTCCCTTCCCCGTCGCCCGGCAATGACGGGCGACCGTCGGCGATGTAACGACGGTCTGGCCGCCACCTTGGGCGAGCGGGGTGGACATGTACGTTTGGCCATCAGCGCCGGGCCTTCAGTCAGAAACTGTTGATTTTAGTTTTTAACCAGGCGAGAGAAGTCAAAGACCGGGCAGAATGAGTCTCGTTTATAGAAGAGTGAGTGACCTGGGTCACAAAAATTCCGAAATTAAATAAAGTGCAACAGCAAAGCAAATAAAAAGTGGAGCTAAAACAGTGTCGCGTGATGGATAAATCGATGTCAACTTATAAATCCTATGTCGCGTGAGTCGGCTCAGGTAGATTGTTTGCAGACTGATTCAAGCACAATTACAAAATTGAGCTACAGAAATATGGTGACCGTCGTGCTGATGTGTAGACAGATTGTAGATTCAATCTAGATTTGAAGATTGTATATTGGTCACCGCACGATTACAAATTTACAAAACTTTAAACGATGTCCGTTGCGCCCCCTGGTGGCTGCGTGCGGGGAGCGGTGGTTCACCGGCCTCCGAGCACCAAGAGAAACGTTCAGAGTCACAACAACTCGGACCAACGCCAGCAGTCAGGACATCCAGTCACTGGGCAGCTGTGTCGCCAAGTCACGCGTACGATCTAAATAGGCGAGCGACAGGCAGTCCCGTGGACTAACTCCCCAAGGCCTTGCGGTACGCGGACCACGAGTTAGAGGATTCGGCCTCGACGCTTGGCCTTATCCTAAAAGGCACCCGTCCTTGGCCTGCGCCTGGCCTCGTAGCTTTCGGCCGTCAATTGAAGGCTGCCGCGAATTTAATCCAAAACGGCGAGAGGCTTTGAAACATCGTTGCTGTCCGGGCGTGGGATAGCTGAAAGGTGCTCACATTATAGCACTTGTGGGAAAATAACACTTCTAGTTGCTTAGCAACAACAATGACGATGAACCAGCACTCGCGAACTCCCTCCAGTGATTCGCTCACCGGCAGTCAGGTCGCCTCCCTATCACTCTTCTATCCCGACCACCATGGCTGCTGTTTCCGTGCACTTCACTCGTTGGTTGCTCCTCTACCCGTGTTAAGGACTCTTGTGTAGCAGGCGCTGACTGTGTCATCTCATGTTCAAGCACCCACACTGCAGGTCACAACAACGCACTCATTCAGACCACTCGCCCACCCACTTCCTCACCCACCTACTCCATCACCCACCCACTTGCTCACCCACCCATTCCCTCACACACCCACTCACCCACCCACTGCTCCCGCCCACTTGCCTCACCCCACCCACTACCTCAACCCACCCACTCACTCACCCCCACCCACTCACCCACCCACTCCATCACCCACCCACTTGCTCACCCACCCATTCCTCACCCACCATCCCTCACCTCACCCACTCACCCACCCACTCACTCCCATCACACTCACCCACCTCCACTTGCTCACCCACCCACTCCCTCACCCACCCACTCCCTCACCCACCCACTCACCCACCCACTCCCATCACCCACCCACTTGCTCACCCACCCATTCCCTCACCCACCCATTCCCTCACTCACCCACTCACCCACCCACTCACTCCCCACAGTGCGGGTCACCTCAGTTCTCTCCGCCTATTTCCTCACATTGCTCCACTCTGGAATTCCCTGTTCCCATCATCACCGTCTCTTTGCAGACGCTCTTGTTATAATAACTTGGCTCGATTCAAGAAACGCGTTGCACCCTTTATCCGTCGCAACTTTGATAAGAGTGATGTTTGTTTGCTCTGCCGGTTGACGTTTTTAGACCCTTTTCTTGTGGCAGCCGGCGACCTCTAACTAAAAAAAACCCAAACACAAACCCGTTTGGCGAGGCTAACCGGGCGGTGTGTCTGTCACTGTGCGCAGGAATAAAAACGACACGTCCATTCCCCAGCCAACCAATTTCAAGGTGACGGCAAACATCGTCTACGGCTACGCCACGTGAGTACCGTGCGCTCGTGCGGCACCAGCAAGCGGCCTCCGGTAAATCCACTGCTGGATGAGCCCCCCCCCCCACCCACTATTCTCACGCTGTGACAGTACTCGGGGTTATTTGACCAACACTTCACTGCGCCGGCCAGGGCGTGTTGACAAAGGGAGGGAGAACGGGCTGGGGAGTGGGGGGTGCTGATGTTAGCCGTGGGTGGGAATTGAACTCGGCTCACTGGGTTCATCGTGCAGCGCGCTGGCTTTCATGCAATGGAGGGAGCTGCCCTGGGGGTGTGGTCAGCGCCCTGGACTTGCAACGCTGAGGTCGCCGGTGCTGTTCAATTTCCCGGCACGACAGTCAAAGCAACGATTTATTAAAATCCCTCCACCGCTGTCTACCAAGCGGTATAAATGGGTTCAGTCGATTGGGAGGTCGTGTGTGGTGGGGTAAAGTGTGGGTACTCTTACCTCTTTCAAGTTGTCTGGCCTCGAGAGCTCCCACCAGTGGAGGCAGTGACTTGAGCAAGAAATTCAACGGCTGCACGTCCACAGTGACAACATTCACACGACCGATGTAATCGGCGAATGGTTTAATTGTTTGATTCGTGCTCAAGTGCCGCGCCCCCCACCCCATCGCCTGTCGTCCACCACAGGTGCGAGGGGGCGGACGCCTACGAGCTCAACTACACGAGAGACAACCAGAGCCACGGCATCTTCGTCAAGTACTTCAAGGAGCGCATGATGGAGCCGCGCAAGGTCACGCACGTCCTGGGGCTCGTCGCCGAGGGTGAGCGCCCGCGGTCGCGCCGCCCCCGCCCCTCCGTCTTCACCGCCGTGCCGATGGCTCCGTCACGTGCGTGTGCCCGCAGTCCGCGTGCGCACGTGTTGTGCGTGTTCGTGCCGGCGCGTGCGTTCACGTGTGCTGTGCGTGCGCGCGCGCGTCGCTGTGCAGACATGGGCAAGTGCGACATGATCCGGGACAAGCAGGCGATGGAGGTGCGGCACAGCATGCGGGAGGCGCGGTGCCTCACCGACCCCATCCTGCCGACCGGACACACGAGCGAGTTCAGCCTGCGCTTCGCATCGCTGGGCCCTGGCACACAGTACGACGCATCGTCGTCATCGTCATCGTCATCATCATCAATGTCTTCATCATCGTCATCGTCGTAATCACCATCGCCGTTATTATTAGCATCGCTTTTAGCATCACCGTTATGTCATCATCAACAATCTCAGAGTTGTCATTGTAATGTACAATTTAGTTTTCGTCATCTCCGATTTCTTTGTATTTTCATCATCTTCATCAATGTTGACATCACCAGAACTATAAAAAAAAATGCCCAACACTCTTAATACTTAGTTTAATGACAAGGCTAATGCAAACGTGTAAGTAAGTAATTCGTACATTTAATTTGTAGGAACATTTAATTTGATACCATGAAAACACGCAGGATAAGTTAAAAGGCAACGTATACACAATTAACATTGCTTCCATAAATTCGTTAGAATGGAACGTGCCCTCTCCAAAATGTTTAGCTACGTGTGCCACTGTGAGCGTGTGCGCTTGCAAGTTCAATTCCTGGTTGTGGGTTTACTCATCCCACCATCGAACCAGAGTCCATTAAGAAAAGCACCACCTTGTGGGAACGTTGACGGTGATTGTCCTATTGATAGACCCGCCCCCCTCCATAGGAACGTAGAATTTCCACCAATGGTTCAGGCCTGTAAATGTGGGATGACCATCGCGTCGGTGTAAAACACTGACTTTCTCCCCGTCCACCTCGCCCCGCGTCCAGAGCTGCCCAGGTCGCGGGTGCTGAACATGGGCCGCGGCTTCAAGGTGCAGCTCGGGTTCGCCGCCGAGTTCTCCAACGTTCTGATCGTCTACGTGACCGTGCAGGAGATGGAGCACGGCACCGAGTGGGTGGAGGCCTCCGTCAAAGACTTCTCGCAGGTGACCCCCGGCCGCTGTCGCTCGCCCGTCACTGGAGAACCTTGGGTCGGGGTGTCGACCGAGGTCGTGGGTGTCCGGGGCAGGGCGGCGACCTGTTTAAGGGAAACTTTGCCCCCGTTGTTTCCATTGGTACGCCAAGAGGTCAAACTGGTTCCAACGCACGACCTCTGATCACAAGTCCAGTGTGCCGACCATTACGCAATGGGGACAGGGGCACTCTGTCGCATTACGACGCTACCCAATAAAATAACTTACAATGGCATGGTCTCGTAACTGACACAAGGGAGTGTACGGTGTTTTCCTGCGTTGTTGTATCTTTGTTTAATTATCGATTGGTTAACGATTGGGTGCCGTGGTGGTGAGGTGTTAACTACCTCGCCTGGTATACAAGACGTCGTGGGTTGGAGTTTGCGTGTTCTGTCCGTCTCCTCTAGGTTTTTACTTCCACATGTAGAAACATGCAAAAGCCACTTCGTTGAGCTATCATTTGTGGCCAGGTTGTTTCTGAAAAAGAGCTGTATAGCTCAGTGGGCCTTAACTGGTAAAAAAATATATTAAATGTTAAACTGAATAGGTGGTGGACTCCATAGGCATTCACAGTGGTGCGGTATAGCTCCCCGATGCATTGTAGGGTATGCAGTGGCGGAGCCAGGATTTTCAGGTAGGGGGGCAACCCCTCCAACAATTAAAATGATAGAGGAGTTGTTAGTAAGTAAGGACTTGTCCCTTGCTTTTTATTCTACACGTGTGCGGCGATGGCGCAGCCATCAATCGAGGGTCGAATTTGAACAGTGTGTGATCGGCATCGCGCTCGCTGAAGGTGGATGCCTTCAGGGAAGTCGTGTGCTGTATTCGCAACTGCCAACAATTCTGTGAGTCACTTATAACCGCTTTGCCATGACTTATTGCCAATTACGGACTATGGTCCTATCATCTCATAGAGTCTCTGGCACGTAATAATATGCTACACAGTGGCAGTGGGGGTTGCAAAATGCCGATTTATTACTAATAAACCCCAATGATCCGATCGAAATTAGGGATTTCGATCGGATCATTGGGGGGACACGTGCCACCCCACCTCCCCCACTGGCTCCGCCAGTGAGGGTATGTGTTTCGTTGGCATTGATGTCCAATATTTTTCTCCATGTCAAGGTTCTCAAAATCCCTCCACTCGCGTCCAGCCAACAGTATGAAGAGGGGGGACATCACAGTCAGTCGATTGCAGGTCGCGTGTGGTGGGGCACAGTTTTGGTACTCCCACATGCTCCGAGACATCTGGCCATAAGTAGGGCAAAAGACAGAGGGAATATTTTGAGTTCCTTCTCGTGGAGGCCCTTCTGTCAGCATTAGCATGAGCGAGCAATTGCAGGGCCGCGCCTTTACCTCCACGATGCTCCTCGGATCAAGGGAGGCGCTCGCTGACGTGTTGTTGCGGGCTGGGCGCCCTGCTTCCGCTGTCTTGGCAGGAGCTGTGCGGGGTGAAGCTGGCCAATCAGGTCAGCCTTCTGGAGAGCGGCTGCTCCCTCCTCTCCTGCTACCCCTTCCCTGTGGGCGAATGTCGCTACACGCGCCTTGGCGGCCTCCAGAAGCTCAAGGTAAATGACACGGGCTCACGTGGCCCCTCCCCTGGCGGAGCCGACTCAGACCTTATCCCAATCCTAGCCCTCAACCCCTGATGTTCTAAACTCGGCGATGATCCTGCTCCTCGTTCCCACCAATGCTTCGCTTTTGCTCAAAACTTATTTTCCTGCGAGGGTCGATTCAGCCGGTTATTCCTCATTATTCCATTAAATTACCTCTTTGTGGGAATATGTTGTGACATGATGGCCATTATGCAAAAATAAAATAAAATTTTTGTTGACTAATCCGGTTTTTCTCCGCACCGCAGGTTCCGCTGGCCTTCACGGTGTCGGTCCAGTACAAGATGCGAGGGCACGGCATGCGGGAGCTCAGTGAGCGCATCGAGCTTGGCTTCCCGCTCATCTCCTACCTGTACCAACGCGACGCGCTCGACAGGCAGTGCGCCGCTGTGGCCGCCGCAGCGCCGCCCGTCCCCACGGACCCCGCCCGTGTCCAGACCGTCCTCAGTCTGGGCAGCATCCCCGATGGCCGGAGTGGCGATCGGGCTTCGGCGCGCCCCCCTCCCCGGCGACATCCCGCGCCTGCCGTCAACGGCTATGGGCCACCACCTCGTGCTTCCGCCGATGCCAGCACCGACGCCAGCACTGGCGCCGGCGCAGCCGCTGTGGCTGGTCACCCACACGTTCAGCGCCACTTGCCCTTCCTCACCGACCAATCGTACGATTTCCTGCATGGGGCCTGGTCAGAGAATGGCTTTGGGATGGATGTACCGGATAGGTTCGTGCAATATGTGACTGGTGGTGGTGGCGGCGTGCCGGAGGAGGATGAAGAGGCGGATGATGACACGCTGAAAGCTATACAGTTGAGTTTGTTACAAATGTAAAGTTCAGGGTGGAGCTATGGAGCACCTTGCCTGCCTCATTGTCGCTTTGCTCCACCCGTCAGCTGCAGTATGTATGTTGAACTTTTTTCACACCATATGTAGCCAATCGTGCTAATCGGAGTTGCAGTTGTCCGGGCGAAGGGAGCTCTGTCTCGGACCCTGCATGGAAATTAATGCAACGGGGCGCTGGGTGACCTGATCGGAGGAGTCGGTGATTAGCTCGTGTTTTAGCGATGAGCCAAAGAGGATGAGGAACTTGTTTCGAATGCCAGGCTCCCACCCAACGTATAACTGGAATCGTGTTTGTAATTGGTGTAATAATGTTACGGTTTGTGTGTCTGTTTGCCCCCGGTTAAGGCAACGGCGCTGGGAATGCATCGATCGTTGTCGTCTATAGTTTTATGAAGTCTAGCAACGAGCTGAAAAGACACACTATTTAAAGCATAATACGAGATACTAATTTTTTTCCATGTTGGTATATAAATAACCATTATTTAACGTACTTGGATGTGCATAGAAAAATATTTTGGTAATTATTGTTCACGAACATGAACACACTTTTTTGTCAATGCAATGCTGGTGAGGGCTTCCCCCATACCACGTGGGTCTTGGGAGTTATTTGACCATACTTCACCACACCGGTCAACACGGGTTGATGAAAGTGGGGAGCAGAGGGAGCTGCACTGCCCTCTGCTGCCCGCAACGTGCGTTATGCATCGTTGCTTAGCTTCAGAGATCTGAGCAGATGGGGCGCATTGAATGCCTGCTTTTGTGATCGGCTTTCTCACTGTTATTATTTAAATAGGGTTAAACATTGGCAGACTTAAGACAGTTGGGAAGGTACTGCAGAGCTGCTAAAAAGAACAAATGTTAATTCTGCATCACACCCTTCTCATGGTGGTGACAGCTCTGCGTGGTTATCTTTTACAAATGTTTTTTAACCTTCAGATTTTTCGTCACTTGCATTCCTGTTAACTGTAAATTTTATTTCACGCTTGTCTGAACGTCGGATTAATTTATTTTATTCGTTTTGCTGCTTAACCTTTACTTTTGTAATATAACGGTGCTTCCAAGTGGCACCTTTGCCGTTGAGGAGATACAATACGATTGTGATAACGATTATGAGGATGACAATGAAATGCTGCATTAACTTATGTTTCAGGTTTTAAGTTTCAAGTTGTTTTTGTTTAACCACGTGAGAACTCAGAAACCCAAGACCAGTCTCATTTGCAAGAGTGGCCTGGGTCACCATCATAACAAAAGCAAAACAAACATTAAAGTACAGCAATGAATCTTCTTGGTTCTTTCGGTAAAGTTACGTAGAAGGGAAATAATAAAATAATAAAAATAAAACATAAAATACAATTCTCACGACGTTTCGGCCACAACGCAAGCAGCCGTCGCCTCAGGTGAAGAACAGGTCTGTTGGAAAGACAGCGTCTGAATGACAGGTGAATAACAGGTCTGTCTTTCCGACAGACCTGTTCTTCACCTGAGGACGGCTGCTTGCGTTGTGGCCGAAACGTCGTGAGAATTGTATTTTATTGTTTTATTTTTATTATTTTATTATTTCCCTTCTACGTGACTTTACCGAAAGAACCAAGAAGACGAATCCCTGCAGTCACGAAAGCTTTAAATCGAAATTTACAGCAATGAAGTAAACAAATCAAAACAAAAACACCACTGCGTCACAATGCATCATGTGAGTCCATTTGCGGGTCTAATTCGCCAGCGACAGATTGCAGATTGGAGTAGGTAGCATGTGACTAGATGGCATCGCGAGAGGTTTTCTGAATATCGCGTGTCTGGCATTGAAATGTATTCTCAGTCGCCGACTCGGACAGACTTGGTTTAAATTAGTCCCTGGTCCAACTTCACCTCTCTCCGTCTCCTCCATATGCTGCGGAGCGGGTAGCAGCGGGGGGTTGACACAGTCAGCGATGTCTAACCGGGGTACTCGTCGCTTAGCCACATGCGTGCGCGCAAGCCGGATCCATCTCGCAAACTGGAAAGAACACAGGCAGTTGTGACGGAGACGGACGCCGATTATAATCTAGCAAAGTTAATAACTGGTGGATCACTGGGGAATGATCCATTCTCAGTCTCCAGACTTGGCAGAGAGCCGTTATGACTTGTGGGAGAGACCCACCCACCGGTCAATGAGGTGATTGTAAGGGGGGCCAGCACAGCAAGCAGGTATTTGACCATGTTAGATTTGTAACACATTCCTGCGGAGGGAGCTGGTAGGAACGTTGGGTTGCTCGGTCAATGGCCAGGGTCAACAGCGGCGTGGTGTATTCCGCAAATATGCCCGACTGTGAGGGTGGGCACAAGCCGGCGTGAGAAGGTTAAACGTTGAGTTTTATAAGGGCACCATGGGGTGACCAGCCTCTCCCCACCCAGCCACTCCCCACCCAGCCCCACCCCTCCAATTTTTGGATGCACGACGGACTGGTGGAACCAGGTGGTTCCTACCAATAATATCTTCTCAGCTGTGGCTACTTTGTGTGCGTAGACACATGCAAAGTGTCTTAAATACTAACTCATCATCATCAGGGCCCTCCTGTAAATGAATTGTGAAGACTCGATGAGCCAAAGTGGTTTATTATCGAATTAAGTGCATTTTCACTACACAGCGTTGTCTGGCTTCCTTGTTTCTATGTTTTATTTTGAATACTGATCACAGGGACTGTAGTTAATTTAACATTCCACAGTTAAGGCCTGGTTGTGTTGTCTTTTATACTGCTTTTTAAAATAATTTTACTGGGATTTTTTTTAAAAATAAAGTACATTTTGGGAAATCGTTGTGAGCGTTGTGGTATAGTTTTTATAAAGGGTGCAACGTTTATAGATATCCGCTTTTTAATGACCCTCTTACTCTCGTCTCAATGGCTGACTGAACGTTGTAAAAGTAATAGCTTCACATCTCACAGAGGATAGCGTTAAAATATGTAATAAGTTAGTGGGGTATCTACAAACGGATCCCCTTGTACAGAATGTATCCGTATATGTGTTGCATCAACGGTTTTTTTTATCCGAAGGCACAGGATTTTAAATTAGATGAATACGTGAAAATCTCTGGATGGAATGATTCACCCCCTATGCGCTCAGCATTTGTAATTGCCATGATTTAGGGTCATTGTGTGATTCAAGTATTTTTTTGCATTGCGGTGAATAGTAGTACCTCTAGTGGCTGCAGGGGTAAAGTGAACCCATAACATACCAATGAATTGAAGAGTATTCATTATTACACCACGTGGTTCTATGCATGTATCGCCAGGTTAAGAATGTATGTGAGGTGACATCTAAATTCAAAAGAAAGCTTGGCTTTAAAGCTCTGATATGCAGCTATAAACGAATGCACCACGTACGTTGCTCGTGCATTCTACATGGGCTCACGCTACCACTGCAATTGCAGCAAAAACTCTTGTATTGGTACTGAGCCACATGACTATATCGATGTAGAATCCGTCCATATGGAGTTTCTTTCCGCTGCATGGGCCCATGGCAGGCCCTGTCCGTCCGTCACCTGAGACTCTTGGCTGGTCCTTGTAATGCACATTTATTTTTAAGTCTGCAAAAACTCTGCTGTCTGCATTTGCTGGCAATATCAGGTTGCGAACCATAACTAGGCTATGTTTTTATTCATCATTGTTTTCTTACTCAATTAAATGTTGAAGTTAGACTTAGTTCAATGTAGAGGGGGCAGTACACTGTGCGAGGCAGCTGATGATACCTTCACCAAGTTTGGATCTCTTGTGGTGGGATAAATTGTGGGTAGCCTTAACTCTTCCACATTCTCCTCTGCAGGTAAAGACACGTCGCCTGGAGTGGGCTGAGCGTCATGTTAAAGGCTTAAGTTTAAATGAAAAAATATAATGCAGTATTGCCGAATTACACCAATGTTATCCCATCCATGAATTCTCAAAGCATACATCTTGCCACATTTGGAATTCACACTGGCTTTTTACGGGAAAAAACCCATCTCGTATTACAGGCTAAAGATTCCAACAATGGGCCTTCTTTAAAGAGCACAGAAATACCGACATAAGTTGGGATTGTAGAACTTTTACAGAAAATTAAATGGAAGTTCTGAGTGCGCACAGGAACAGAATTTCCGTGAAGAAATAACAGAGAGGGCAACTCGGTACATAATATCATAAGGCTGTTTCAGAAGCACATTTTAGAAGCGTCCAAGGGCCAAAATACAGCACAGTAGCTCTACTAAATCACGTCAATGACAACCCAGCATCTTAATTTTGATTTATCTAACGCGTAGGCATTTGCCAAGCGGGATATGGACAGTGGAGCGGTTGTGGGATGGTGGTAGTGGGCATATGGCGATTCAGCAAGCAGCCTCAACATTCAACCCCGAGGGCTCACTCGGTCGCATTTTTTTGTAACTCCCAAAAACATTGCGGAACTGTGTTCTGTACCACATTATCCTGTGTATTCAAGACGGCACAGGGTTGGCAACAGTTCATTGTGCATGCCAAAGCGGGCGAGTGAGACTGGCCATTCGCTCTGCCCGAAGACTGCGAACTCACAATCGGCAATTAACAGGGAGACTTTACAACGTAGGCGACACATTGCTCGCTCAATCACCGCCACTCACTCTTGGGCTAACCTACACAGCATGGACGTGCGGTCAGGAGAGGCAGGGGAGGCAGAGCCTCACCTGTGATACTCCAATGAAAATAGCTGTTACAAAAAGTAACAAAACATTTAATTAATATAAAAAATTTCCACTGATCTCTGTTATAAATGTAATTTCTGTACGATTCCAATCATTTTAATAGTCAAAATCGCCAAATTTGCGGAGCTCCGTTGCGAATACATGAAGAGACGAGAGGTGAGGCAGCGACGAGCTCAGCCTCCCCTGATTGCGCAACCCCTCAGTAACTGGATGGAGCGTGGGCAATAAGCGCGTGCCTGTTACTATCTCAGTCTGTCACCAATGTAATGTTTGTAGACCCCTTCATTTCATGTCCTCGCCTTCCATACTCCAGGTAACTTATTTCACGTATGTGTATAAAGATTTTTAGGCTCCCTGGTCTCGTCATGAAACTTCAATGAAAACGCACCAGGGGAGGCAGCTATCACATCTGCCTCACTGAGGGGGCGTGTTGGATTTCGACATCGGTAATATTCAATGTTTAGTGCCCATATTTGCGCTTACAATGTCCGCTCACTCTTTCTCGAGGAGTGGAGCGGTGGAGGGGATTGCCAGAATGGTTATTTGTTTATCGCCATGACCGCTCGCCAGATATAATTAATAAAATTAGCGAGTGACGTCACACTGAGCACCGCCCCCCTAATGAATAATCATGAGTGGATGACATGACGCCACAGTGAGCACGGGTGGGTGACGTCACGCTGAGCACCGCCCCCCTGATGAATAATCATGAGAGGATGACATGACGCCACAGTGAGCACGGGTGGGTGACGTTACACTGAGCA